AACCCACTGTACTCATGGTTTGCTTCGTTCTTAACAGAACGTAAACAGATGGTAAAGTACAATGACTGTCTCTTGTCCCCTAGACCAATCACCAGTGGAGTCATCCAGGGAAACGTATTACGTCCACTTTTGTTTCTTATGTATATAAACGATATATGTAACGCCATAGAATTTGGGAAACCATACTTATATGCTGATGATCTCAAAACAGTATACGGCTATAAGCCTGAGACACTAAGCGAAAGTGTATCCCAGATCCAAAAGGACCTCAATAACTTAACTATATGGAGTGAAAAATGGCAATTACCATTTAATCTCAACAAGTGCGGGATCATGCACTTTGGAAAGCATCCCTATAAACCGCAACTTCACTTAAATGAACTTAGAGTCCAAACACTCGAATCAGCACACGATTTAGGAATTAATTACACAGGAAGCCTGAACTTTGAAGAACATGCCTCCTCTATTATTTCTAAATCTAGACGGCTAATCGGTTTCATAATGAGACATTTTTTCGCAACAGAGGCTAAGCTTACTCTCTATAAAATATGTGTACGACCATCTCTTGAATACTGCTCTTTTGTCTTCTCTAATATGAATATCACAGACAAGATAAGAGTAGATGTTCAAAGACGTTTCACACGTCAACTACTAGGATGTAACTCGAATCTCGATTACACAAATAGATGTAAGCATCTATCTTTCGAACCTTTATGGCACCGTAGGCTAAAGAACAATTTAAAATTTCTCTACAAAGCGATATTTGGGCTCTCCTTTCTAACCTCCTGCCCAACTATCACCCACGACCCAGCCTATAGACTTAGAAACAACGCATATACACTACTTACCGTAAAACACCAAAAACGAACGCGTTTTTTACAGTAAGGTATAGTTTATTGTGGAACAGGCTGCCAATGCCTATCCGTAACTGTGATACGTTTACCAGATTCAAAAAGCTAATAACTGTATTTCTAGACTCTAAAGAGCTTCAACATTTCCTTGAACTCCCGCCCACCAATGAGGCACTTTATTACGGACCGCTTAGTATCTAGTCAGAACAAGAATATAACTAGCCCGACTGTTATTAATATGAATATAACCAAATCACAGAATATATGGCTTATCCTTTCCTATTATTCATTGTTTATTAATCGTGGCCTTATGCTCTTAACCCTAGCTTTCAGTTCCCAAAACCCTGCAGGTTAAATGTACATTATTCTTCCTAAAAGTCACGCCTTTTTTCTACTGCAAGTAGACAGATAGCTCCATCTTATGGATGCTGATCTACTAAGGCCGATCATGCAAAGCTGAAAATTTGACCACAAAGTCTTGTGAGTTTCTCAAGGTTTTATTTGTCTTACCCTGAAATCTTTTTTTTCTACAATTTTATACCCTCTCGTATCTTTTGATTTGCTATTAGTTCTTACTTCTTTAAACCATTAGTTATTTTCATAGCAGTGTGATATACTATATGGACATCTAACCGCAAGGGACATGGGGACCCGTCCAAACGACACAGGGAATGCAACCAAGGCAAACGCACACTCCACTTTATTTGAAAATGACTTGATACAATCCCTCCAAATCTTTTCTTAACATTGTTTAGGGAGTACACACAGCCCAACCTTAAGGTTCACAAAGTCATGGCTTCTTCGCTTTAAAAAAATAAATCTCTTGGCTCAAGTACACGAGTGGGCATTCAAGCGGATGATAGTTATAAAACAAATAATACGAGGAGAGACTCTAGCATCTAGAACTATTTTTGCCGGGCTTCAAGAGAATAACGGCACGAAACACACTAAGTACGCCGAGTCACGCTAACGCAAGCATATTGGTAGAACGCCCCTTAGGGCAAACCGCGAAAGACTACATATCATCAGGCGAATACACAGGTACACTCTCAACGTCTCTCACTACGAGTTGCCCCTATTTGGAATGCTCTCACAGAGAAGTTGCCAAAGACCCTCAGTGAATGGCTTTAAAAAGAAGCTGGGCAAACACATACTCGCCGGTGGATTGCAATCCACTCCTTAGACTGGCTATGTCTAGGGCGTGTCTCGTAAGTTAATACGGTTATAAATACTGTTTAAATAGTAACTACTTCTTATCTCACTCATTACCATCTTTGTTTCTCTGTTGTCAATCAAGTGAATCAATTATTCATTCTCAAATTAATTATTTTCTCCCAGTACTCAAACTATCACTTTGTTACTTTCATATTGAAACCAAGCAACCTCCTGCCTGGTAGTGTGATAGCGGTTGGTATCCAACAAACCTACTTCCTTGTGATAAACACATTCACTCAACTACAAGATATACAAATCCACGATCAAATACCACAATAACTAAAATTACTGCAGTCGGTTGGCTAGTTTAATGCTCATTGGACGTAACCAAATACGTGTCCAAACGTGAAAAAGCGAGAGCGAAAAACTCAGTCAGATACTGGATATCTAGGCAACAAGCTTATTAGAGTCATGAAAAACTGCATTTTCTCGCGCTACTGGATGTTCTTGTGGGATCCCTCAGAGTTCAGTGCAAGGATACCTTCCGTTTTTCATTCATTTTAATGATATCTAGCGAGTACCGTTAGAGTTGCTACCCCTCGCCGGAGATCTCAAAATTTTAGAGTAAAGTGGGCAATCAGGATGACAAACTAGAAACTCAGGGGAATCAGACTTCACTCTGATGTTTGACAGAAAACGATGGACTTGTAGTGGTATTGGGCCCTAACCATACAATACTTAAAGCTGAACACGAGACAACTGGGAAAATACATATCCAACATTTGACGCGGCGAAAAACCCAACGATATAGAAGTCGGGAAGAATGAATTGGACTAATTCGAATCCATCGGATGGCATGGCTCGGCCTTACAGGCGTGGTCATTATTGAGTGCCAAAATGTACCTTTTATTCATATTAAATATATTGTTCTATATCTAGCCTATGTGTGTTCTTCATCATATATTGATGATTGTTACGACGCGATGAGTTGGTGTAGATATTAATATGACTTCCGTGTAAGATCATATATATTAGGCAGTTATATGATGATAAACCTACAATTTTAGGACTAAGTCTATTATTAGAGCTGTACTAATATCATAGTAGACCATAATTCTACAGACACACTTTCGGCACTTTAAAACGTAAAGTAGGCCACCTAGGATATGTTGCAAATTGCAAATAAAACATAAGTAGTTTCCTTAAAAAAGTTCGTATGTTGGCGCTATCGAAATCCTGAAGCTGATTTCGAGCCCAGATGCTGACAACGTCCGGGACATTCTGTTGGAAAAAATGGTTCCGACATGTCAACTTTTACTCGAGTCACAACCTCTCATGGTGAGAGCTCCACAAACTATTTTTCAATAGGTTCTCCATTATATCCTGTTAGACTTTGTTTCGGACGACAAAAAAGAAGAATCGAAGTCCTTTTGTTTGCATCTACATGTCACGTTCGCAGTTTCAAAAAATATTTTCAGTGAACGTATATCTGTTCTTTGTAAAACATGTGTTTCTCAGGTACTTTAGAGGCTTTTGTGGGATTCACGTCTAGTATTGTAGTGAGTGTATTTATGTACGGTACTACAATAATAAAACTAGTCCAATACTGTGGACTTATTATGATCTTACTGTCTAACTCATAAGATTCTACATCAAATCTAAATTGTGTTGTGATTTAGCTCGTCGGATCACGACAGTTGGCGGTGTTGTTTTTAAAAACCTTTGAAAAAGCTATTCACACTTGATATGAAGTAACAGTTAATATGTGCATTAACGCGCCATAAGAGGGTGATTACTCTTTGTGCTCTCTTTATCTTACACTGATTAAAAACAGAAGAGGTCCCAGTATCAAGCCCTGAAGAATCCGTCAAGACGTCCTGCAGCACGATAAAATGTTAGGTTTTCTATTATCCTTAAACGTCTATAAACAACTCGAAACAGCCTGTTGATGAAGATCTGGCACATATTGGATCGAGTTTATTGATAAGATGTGTCTTATCGACCCTGTCAAATACTTAAGAAATTGAGGTAAATTATGTCCACCTTCTCTTTGCTAATGAGGATGATAGTCTATCTGTCCACTGCACTGAATGGGTCAGTGATTCAGAAACGATACTTCCTGGAAGCGTAATGTTGGAGGCGAAAAGAACTATGTGAATAACAAGTAGTCGCATGGGCCATTGCACATCAGGAAGTTCATAACCTTTGGGGGTATTGAACGAAGTGCAACCGATCAGCACTTCGAAGGCCCGTTGGGTCGGGGACCTTTAAAAGTTGGTGTGATGTATGTAAACTTCCAATTTTCTGAGACTGCACCTTTATTTAGCTATTGCGAGTGTGTTGCCAAGATTAAGGCTGCTCCTCACTATAAAAGGAGTGGATAATGTCGACGTATTCACGTTTGCGAACTGAAGACTTTGGTACACCAGCCATGCGCTCAGATTCACTCTCAAGACTTCTGTTGAGTTTTAGGTAGGGCTCTCGTCAGTGTAGGCTGCATGAGACGACCGCAACGTCTATGACTACTGTTTTATCAATAGCTCAGGAGTGTCAATAACGTTGTTGCTTTGGAAACTCCAGCTCTGTCTAGTCGAATAGAGGCTGAATGACGGAATAAGCTATACAGACTGGAGGTAAATTCTATTAGACTAATCTGATACAGCCGCCTCGCTTTACGAGAACAGGTACGTTATTCATTTATTTATTGTTTCCCGAAGAATCATATAAATCATAGGACGCCAACGAGCGATAAGCAAAGGTGTAATTATAACACCCTCTCGTAGAAGATTCAGTGTTTAAGTATCCATTTCTGATAAATCTTTAAGAAGAGTGAATACTCTAGAGTCCATTGTCTCAGGTAATGCTTTGAATCTGTAGTCGCTACGAGAAGTAAAAGCTCTGAAGATTGAGAAAAACTGTCCAACTGTGTTCTGCTCTCAAGGTCAATGACCTGGAACAATAGTCTCTATTGAGTCAGATATTTTGCACAAGGTCAAAGCGCGTGTGTTGATCTTCGCGTTATGTTTCCAATACTTGTAACATGACGACAATAGAGTCCAGTAAGTTTTACGGTTTTGGTCTTATTTTCAGTCAACAAAGTATCTTTTGTATACTTTGGATAGCAATACATGACTTCAAATGGTTGATTTCATAGTTTTTGACTAGATTTGGGAAAACCTGTCATACCTTCCGTATAATGTAGTTTTGTCCACTCTACTCTCAAGTTTTTATGATTCTCTTTTTCCGTTTATTTAATGCACCATTTAACAAGTGCACCAGATTTCAAAAGAAGTTCTTGGTTTTTTGGATGATTTTTCATTGTATTAAGAATTATTTATTTTGTATTTGTAAATATCAAAAGAGATTTAGAAGAGCCTTTGATTAATGACGGTTTGGACGCCTCGTCAGTCGTAGACCTGTTTACGGCTCTGGAAAATCTTGTTCTTCAAATCGTCCTCAGGAAGAAGCTATTGGAATTTGACTCATCTTTCCTTTTCTCTCTTTCGTCATTTTTTCATTGAGAGTTTTAACTTTTTTCACTCTGTTCTTAATATGGATGTTTTCGTACTTGTGGTGTTGAGAACTCGTGCATCTTTTGAAACTTATGTACAGAAAATCTAGTCGGTTTTAATTTATTCAGGTTATGGTTTATCCGTTTTTTGAATTCGGTTTAAAAATATTTGCCTTTGTTCAACACTCATGACCTATTGCTTGAATGTCATAATCAGTCCACATTTACTTGTCATTCGGACCAAACTTCGGAGTAGTGTTGTGAGATATCCGAGAGCTATTTATGGCCATGTCAATTTTAGAGTCCTAATATCTACCGTATTCTTTGTTTGTTACTTCATTAGGCACAATACTTGTTCATCTCTAATCTATAGTGTTTTAATACGCATATCTTAGTTGTCTGGTTACTAGATGTAGTTAAGTTATTGATCAGTTCATATTGCTTCAGAACTTGCTAGTATATAGTTGCCAGTAAATAAGTCTGTCTTTTGATTTCTTCTAAATAACATGTTGATTTTCTGTATTAAGGAATTCCTCGTCGGCGTGCAAATTCTGAAGAACCCAGGACAAATTATTTCGTGCGAAAACTTTCCAAATTGGTTTTAAATGAAAGCAACCTTCAAAATACCTCTCATCTCAAGGATTTTAATATGAACCACAAATTGTCTACACAACAGCCGAAGTTTACTAATCCTTTTGCTCGTCTGGATTTTCGGAAAAAAAGGAAGAAGACTACTAAAGTCAAAGTAGTATGTCATATTTCACTCACCGGTTGTGTATTGCTCTTCACAAGGTCTTTGATTTTACCACTTATCCTCTCAATATCATTATTATTGCAGATAATCTCACCATGGACTGTGAAAGAGCTGCCAAGCACTCCAGACCAAAGCGTAGAACATCTTGAGTCATATCAATGTACTAAAAGTTCGATTTACTCGCCACATAACACCCACCCATCTACCTTATAGTTAAGGAGAGATATTACCTAAATAAAGCTAATAACTGTCAAGAATCATTAAAACGACAGGAAAACTAAATGGTTGAGCGTGAGATTAATAGTTGATATTCATCAAAAAGATTGCCGAACAGTCATTAACTTGTGGGTCATTTACTTTAAAAATACCACCATAATATATTAACTCCAGTTACCTGGTGACTACCTCAATGATAACAAAGTAGAATAAAATAAAAGGTATAAAAACATCGTCCCTACTCTTTGCCAAGATTTTACGTTTAGATAAATAAATCTTTTGGCAAACGAACTTTTATTGAGTTCAAGAGTCACAGTTGTGGCACCAATGGGTATTTTTCTCATATGATCTTTATTTCAGAGATGAGTTCTTGGGTGCTGAGCGTTATTTAGAACAGCGATTGATTTATATCTAATCTCATGATAATTATTTTTGAGTTCTTACCGATGGCTTATATAATGACATTCATACGCAAAAGTTTGGCGATTAAGAGTTGGACACTTACTTGTGCACTGGTACAGGCCGAAAAGAACTACATCATCCACTGACTGTGCTGTGTTGTGTATTAGATGCTTTGTTTGTAGTGGTATGGTTTCATTATTGAAGTATTTATATTCTGCTCATGATTATATCAGTTCTTGAGAAGTCCAAAATCACATTTTGGAAACTTGATCTTGGTTGTCTTTGTCTAAAAGTCCGTATAATAAAACCTCATAATTCCAACTAACTGTGTAAAACATACTATTACCACTTATTTTCTAAATCTATTGCTCTATGATGTTTTAACTTTCTTGCAAGACTGCTAATTAGTAAGCCCTTAAGAAACGAAACACATATTGGTACTTAAAAACAGTCTTCATGTTGATTTTAATTTTATCTACACGTAGTATTTCTTTTTTTATAAGCCACCATTGGATTTTCCCCAGTCGTATACTGAGTTGATTTTGGAACTTGCCTACACATCAAACTTAACACGTCAAGTTATTCGACCCTTTAATCGTTGTCATTTAATAAGTCAATTAACTGAATGTGCACGCTTGATTCGTGGACGTATCGCTTCTGGTGCTGCATGTATCCAGCTTCCGTTACTGGCCGATTCCAAAAAGGACGAACAACGTATGAGTGACAAGTGAGTATCACTTACTTTTAAGGGAAGAAAACGTTTGGAGTCTTTCCTCATTTTCAAACTATAACAATTCATTGCTAGGTAACAAACACTGTGCCGCTCACTCTTCAGTTCTATTATTCACTCAGCTAAGTGACTAAAACCCCAATATACTTTGTGTAAGCCCAGCAGAGCATCATTTTCTTCAAAGCTAAGGCATCATTGCTTAGGACTTCCTACACATCGCTTTCTGCAACGTTTTATTTAACAGATTGACACAGCTTTCTGACCGCCTTATTCTTTACTCGGAATATAGGGGTATAAAATTAATGCCCATCGTATAGCTTATGGAACTCAGAAATTGATAAGCTGTATGATCTTTGTGTTTACCATTCTTAGGCAAAAATATGCAATACCTAATTAATACTTGGCTAAAAATCCAGTGTTTATCTTTCCAAAATCCTTAAGGTATTGTTGACATCAAGTCTCAGCTCATGAATTCCAACTGTTGAAAATTATTAGGTCTTAAACACCGTTTTCTTTTCGTTAATAGGTACAGATAAATTTACCAATGATAAAACCAAAGACCGTTGAGTTCTTTATGGAATTAGCCTTTAAACTCCTAACCATGGTACCGTTTGTTGTGATTTTCATAACTAGTTTAGTAATACTTATTTGAAGAGCACAAAATATGAAGAACTACTCATTGAACACATAAGTAGTTAATGATTCATGTCAATACAGTGATTAGAGGGCGAAAACATTTTCTTTTTGATTAAAATAATTTTGATTGTTAGCCCGAAATGTATGCATCATTTTTGCAGATAGAGAAAAACGAATCTGTCTAAACTTACCATTTTAATACTTAGTTATCTTTAAACAAAATCTTTAAATATATTAGCAATTTCAATATGTCGAAGATTTAGTCAAATGATTAATGATCACCGATAATTAAAATAATCTGAAAAATTACACAACTTTTGGCATTATGGTTATATCATGAATTTATTCTAGTATTTGTCAGGTGACTGCTAATTTTCTTCACTTTTCTACGAAAAGTATTAGTTGATATTCGCTTTATTCTTACTGAATCGTGATTATTCTTATTACTTATCAAGAAAATTTTCTGCCGGAACCCACCCATGGTGATACGGCTTATATTTACTTGTACTGCCCTAAAGATTTATTTCTTGATAAGGTACATTGCGATAGTCATATTTTCTAACTGATGGGGAAGTTTCGACTTCTTGGAAAAAAAGCATGATTAGTTTTATGGAGCAATTTATTAATTTTATGCATTTAGATACTCCTGATGTATATATGTGGTACATAAGAAAATTTCTGATATGAATAGCATCATGTCACGACTTGGGCTTAAGTCTTATTATGATGGACAATAAACTAAAATAGCGAAACATGAACAGACCACTTATATCATTGGTCTCACTCTTCTCTATTTCCCATATCTCTCTCATAAATAGAAGTATATATATTTAAGTTTGCAAGTGAGTAAGTAAATAAAATGCGCTTTGTTGTTTAAATCTTATTAACTGTGATCAGAAAACTACTTTGCAACTGGTTGGAGCATATGTAGTTACACTCATCATTCTTAATTGATCTTCTAGTGTGTTATAGTGAAATGTAGATTTATGTATTGCAAGGATTATTAAAATGGTGTGCCGTTCATGACTTAGCACACTATTTTTATGTTTGTTTAGATTCAATTCCATTAATAGATTAATAAAGTGATTGGGATTATTGAGCTGCACTTTTTAAAACCCAAACGTCAAGTAGCACTCATATGATGAATACTTCTACGAAAAATTATCTTGACCTAAGAGGTTATTCAACCTACCCTTGAATCTCTCTTTAGTTAAAGAACAAGTGCAAATTTTCTAAATAGACATAGCCTTGAGCGGATACTCGTTCAAATAAAAAACGGAGTGTGTGGTTAGACCACAATCTTTTCAGATTGCAACATATAGTGGATATATTCAATGGGACAGGTGTTAAAAGGAATAATATTCTGTTATATCAATTCAAAAAGTGAGTTCTATGCTTCTCAGCGTGGCATATAAATAATTTGATGACTTTCCTCCTGATGGGTTGTAAATGCTTCTCAACTTAACGTTTAATAACTTTTAGATATATACACAAGGTGAATCGTTCTGATTTGCCACACCGGCCAGGTAATATGTTGATAAGTACGTTTGGGTAGTGTATAAAGCTATCAGAATCAATGTACATTTGTAATATGAAGTTATGAAGTTTTATTTGATATGGTTTTCAGCCTTAATTGACAGAGTTTAAATATCAAATCGGTTAGTATGTCGTAAATAGCATAACACTAGGCACAAATTTCCATCGACTCGAATAGCCATACCACGTGAGAAACTTACTTACTTACGCCTGTTACTCCCAATGGAGCAGAGGCCGCTGGCCAGCATTCTCCAACCCACTATGTCCTGGGCCTTCCTTTCTAGTTCTATCCAATTCTTGTTCATTTTTCTCATGTCTATCTCCATTTGTCGGCATATTGTGTTCTTTGGTCTTATTCTTTTCCTTTGGCCTTGAGGATTCCATGTGAGGGTTTGCCTTGTGACGCAGTTGCGTGCTCTCCTCAATGTGTGTCATATCCACTTCCAGCGCTTCTTCCTGATTTCTCCTCGGCTGGGATCTGCTTTGTTCTCTCCCATAGTAGGTTGATGTTGATAGTGTCTGGCGAACGGATCCGAAATATTTTGCGTAGATAGCTGTTAATAAACACTTGTATCTTCTGGATGATGGCTTTCGTAGTTCTCCAAGTTTCCGCTCCATACAGTAGAACTGTCTTGACATTTGTATTGAAAATTCTGACCTTGTCCACGTGAGAAAAGCGAGGTAAAATTCTAAAGATGGAAACTACAGTAGTAATATCATTGGTAGTAACAAGACTACACAAAGAGAATGGTTTACGAGTTTGGATATTAGATACTCTAATACGTAGCTTGAAGCCAGGTCACCAAAAACCGGGGATGTTATTCTATAAGTTAGAGTTATCACCACTTTCGGAGTACCTGTGTAAGTCGGTGTTGCCCAAGCAGTGCTATCAGACATAAACTATGATGCAGGAATTAATAATAAAGCTACTTGCTGACATGTTTAGGACAGTTTTTGCCAGGGGTGTGCTGGTTCACTACTGCATCTGTATTATCTCCAGTTTGATATGGTAAATTATTTTACTCGCAATTTAAATTCCTAGTAGCTTAGTTTGCAGTATAGTCAATAGGATCATTACGCTTATTATCACTGGAAAAAATCCAATATGTTTCTGAAGGTGAAAAATTGATTTTTAAAAAAATTAAAACTGTCTATTTACTTTTGTTGTTCATTTTGCTACTTATTTTGACCTAATTTATAGCTTTTATCTTCTATTAAATATTGATCAAACTAAGATACTCTAATATCAATTGATTTAAACCTATATACTTGATCATTTATTCTTATATTGAGTTGGCATGTGTTTCGAATCCTAATTTTCTCGGCCGGTTAACAAGTATACTAAGTGTAGAACATATGACTTTGTGAATTAAAATCAAATCAATAAACCTTTGAAAGATACTCATTTGGTTTTCGGGTCACTTTTTCACTATTTACTTGGGTTCGCTATCATGTTTCACATTAGTCTGTCGTGTAGATTTTTCACGCGTGTACTAGTTGTGTTTTCTTGAGACAGTTAATATGAGAATACAATCCTAAACAATGCTGACATCATTTCTTTTAGTGCATTCATTAGTAGAGAAGTTTAATACCGCTTTCTGTTAACTCAGTCCTCTGACCGAATAAAAAATAGTTAGTTCAGTACATAAATCTTTTTTGTTTCATTTCTTCGAAAGATCCAGGGATTCGAAATGTTCTGTCAATATTGTTATTCGGAAACATTCACTAGGATGATTATTCACAAAGATCAATGAGAACATTTCAATGACTTAAATATTTTTGATACACTCAATTGTTTAAAGTCTCTTGATGAAATCAGTCATACTACCAAATCAGTTGTTCTCTTTCTAGTCTTTAGACTAAATTCTTTTTACTTCAGAGGAAGAATGTTCATTGAACAAAATCTATGTCCATCTTCTCATATTTATATCAATCTTCATTTTAGTTTGAATGTCTGTGACAGAATAAACAGAGTTTGGTATCTTCAAGTTCTTTCTTCAACAATAATCGCATGTCACTTATCTTACTTGATAACTTTAGACACTTGTTATGTAATTATCAGGTCGATTCTACTCTTAAATCACAGGTTATCATTTTAAGCACCTATATGTATTTATGTAAAACTGTCGAAAACCAAATGACGTATTGATAGGTTTATACATATCTATTAATTGGAGTGCTTTTGTGGAAATTATGATTACTAACCATGATCACCTTGTGGTGCGTGCTACTTATATTGATATAAGTAGTATATAACGCGAGCCAGGAATGTAATGTCTGGCAGCAGAAGATTGGGAAGATCAAGAAAGGAAGAACGGGAATAGAAAGCAATTAGTATGGAAATGCAAGAACAATGAAGTCCGATACAATTATTGAACATTTTGCAAATTAAGTATTATAGTATGATTTTTCTATTTTACCAAGTAACCCTGTAATTTTATGATAAACCGGTTGTCCTCACCTGAGTTCTCCTTCACTACAACCTAAAGAACCGTTAAAGCCCAAAAGAGCTCTGGATAAGTGTTTCACTCTAGTTTAAGAGAAGTTGAAAATATCAACCATTAGATTCCAAAGCATTGATAGACGGCAAAGTGGTTCGCAATGATTCACTAAGTGATTCTGGTTTATAATGAAAATTATCTTAAATTCGTATATATTATCCTATCTAGGGTATAAACATTACAACATAACATTAATTATTGAACTTGAAATGTGTCTATTTTCTTTATCTTTTACAATATGGTTTGTATCATTCCAGTTGTGTCATTCATAATTAAAATTTGTTCTGAAAAACTATTTTGTTAATTATTATTATTATTATTATCCGGTTGACTGTATGCTTATTTAGTGTTCTCGCATTTCATGTACATGATGTTTATTTTCCTTCTTTTATATCCATGACATTCTATACTTTCATTCTATTTGTTTACAAATTTCAGAGAAAATCTATCAGTTCCACCGATTTTAATGACCTTATTTTTCATGTGATTATGGATTCTGTTTCTCAGCTCTTTACTCTGATTTTTTTATTGTTGTAGGAATTGATTGACTAGTTAATGTAAAGGTTATAGTAAATATTCATGATTACTTATTGCTTTTACTCCTTCGTTTGCATAAAATGAACTCCAAATTGAAAAACATATATATATTAATGCAAGTGCTAGTTCTATATTCTCTTTAAAGTAGGTATCGTGTAAAGAAAATATCTGCTACCCCTGTATTTATTGTGGAATAAAAGTAAGAATCATCCTATTGAAGTAATGTTAATTACTTGTATACAGTGTTAATTCGCTTTTGTTCATGCATAAGGAAAAGCTTAAAACTGAATAGATAATAAATTGGTAACAACATATTTCTACTGATCGAATTACCAGCTTTCTAGATTAAATCAATAATCTCCAGTACGGCTATGCTTGAAAAGTTCTGGTCACAATCCAACAATATGCTCAGTCTTACTATAGGACTTGCTATCACTGAAATTAGAAGATATTACTATTATGATAGATCACTTAACTGATAAAATGTCAGAATAACTTGGATAGCCAAACCGATAATTTGCTCGCATGATCGATCCTTAAATCCAAATTGGATCAAGTTTTGAAGTCAGAACTACTAGTCGACCATGTAAATATATTTTCGGGAAACGGAACTATGATTTGTGGACAAAATATTCGGTCGTAATATCATGACAATCACTTGTTTGTTAGTTGAGGAATGGATAATAAAAATTAAAAATCATTAAATAACCTGTGATTATTTAATTTCGTGTTTTGTGAACGTCGGTGTTTTGAATTAACTTCCTGATCGTCATGCTTACCGATTGAATGGTGATAATGTTTTCTGGAAACTAATCTTAAAAGTATTTTTCCTCAGTTATTCTCTCTCTTTGTCCCATCTTCTTTCATCTGCTTTTTGTGTATTTATTGGTAATCTCAATATTAGTTAAATTCATGAATCGATCTAAGCTAGACCACCATTAAAAACCCGGAAGCACTGGACGGCGCGAAACTGCGGATCCTGGGTCCGAGTTTCGTGTGCGGGATCGTGGATACGCACTACTGAGGTTTCCTATTACACTAGGACGGAACGGCCGTCCAGTACTTCCAGGTTTTCAAGGTGGTCTAGCTTAAATTGACTCATGAATTCAACTATTAAAATTACTACAATCTCCACAAACCCCCCATTCTGATAATCTCAATATTAAACAACTATTTAGTGAAAATTTGATTTTTCTAAAATTATTTTCAATGGTTTCTGTACGTTACTGTTATTGGAATTCAGAACAAAATTAACAAGTCCTTGTTTGAATTTGTTTTTTTTTGTATCCGTTTGTCTTCAGTGTTTCTCTCATATTCCTTTTGCTTCTTCGTAACACTTCCTGCTTTTTGCATTGTTTGAAAAAGTATTTTAATAAATAGTGTTAAAAGTATGAATTATTGCTTATAATTTCTAGTCCTACCACCTCAAGTATATTTTGTTATTACATGGAATCCTTTGTTACAAACTTTAATCACTTCATCAACATTTGTTGCTTGCATGATCATGAGTGTGTGGAACTGTTTTTGGACTGTTTTCCGATGAATGAGGTGATTGTAAACAGGCTTAACGGTACTATACTCAGGTATTGTCTGTTGATCAATGTTAGGGGTAAAAGTAACATGACGGTGTACAGTATTTCATTTGTTGCATCCATTTTCCTGTCACCTAATCTAGTCGTTCTATTTTTCATTTAGATTAAAATGTTTGTATACGCGATCCCTTCTGTAGTATCTTTAACGTCTCACATTGATAGTTTACTACTTTCAAATGCTGTTCAACGGCGATATTGAATATGAATTTGTCACAAATTACAAAGTACCAGCTGTACATATATTATGCGGGTGAAAAATAAATTTCTAATGAACGATACATACATTTCATTAGTTTATTTGTCTCTTTTTGTTTTTGTTTGCTTGTTGTGCGCGAATCACATGATGTTTATGTTACGTACAGATGTTCCTTTTTTTGGCAAGAAAATATCGAAGATTAATTGGTATCATACATTTTAATCTAATCAGTTAACTTTATATTGTGAAGTCATTTTATTAATACGTTTTGATGACATTTCTCTTATCCATTTTTTTTTCGCCTTTCAACGACAATACTGCAAGTTAGTAATAAAACAGTTTCATTTTTAAGTAAAATTTGTATTAGTCAAGTCTATATTTCTAATTATTAAGGATTAAATACCATTGTTACTGATTGTTTATATGAGTAATTCACAAGTTGTCATGTGAAAGTGATTGGCATTTCTAAAATAATTAATATAGATTTGTATTCATTTAGATCATATTTATTATACGTTTTCTTTTTTAAAAGTGAGTCACCAGTTTTACAGTTTAACAATATATCCTACTTTTCCACGTTAAAACATCATTCAGAAAATATTAAAAAATTATTTAGAAAGATGAATACGAGTATCTTTGTAATGTTAAATTCTATGCATTGTGTTCTTCAGTGAATTCTTTTAGGTTATCTGGTCCTCAATACTTAGGTTTATGCATCTCACGCATCCTATGGTATTATTACTTTTCATTACATCAAATATTTGGCTCAAAACCGTCAATCAGGCTACACTTAGTTATATTGAAGAATAAACGTCATTTGAGTTCTTATAAATCTGTTCACGTCTGTACAATATGATGATATAGTGTAATAATCATTTGGAGGTGGTAAAACTAGATAAATTACACTCCAAGGCATTAAATCATACATAATAATCCTAACATAGGCTATTGAGATAAAGTAATTTACTGTAAAAAAAGCTGGACCTGAATATTCTAATTTTTAATAAGATTAATGTTAGATTATTTGGCAGTCAGTATTATTTTTTAAATGAATGAAGCAAACAAAATTTGTAGCAAAGAATAATAAAGTAGACATTTCTAAATTAAACATTTTTTCAACCAATATCATGCATTATTATTACAGAAGGAAGTAGATCTACCTTCACTGTATAATAAAATCGTGATGTAAACTAACTAGATTATCAATTCATTTTATTTAACACATTTGTAAAGTAATTGTCCTCCAACTTTTTTCAACTTCAAAAGTCAGTCTTTACAATTTTTACCTTGATAACAATTTTATTGATGAGATAAAACATTTCTTGATCATGCGTTGTTTACAGTTTGCTGATATGGTTTTTTATTCTGGTTACTAATTTTTTTCATCTGATTATCTACACTCATTTTCTTTCCCTTTTGTTGTTAAAGTCGAATGATTATGGTGAAGATTAATCAGTTCAATGAAGCACATGCGTTATTTACTGATTGGATTAATAAACTTTCATCAGCTCCATTTGTAACTAACACGTTTGGTCCAACAGTTGTTCAACCTTCTGACGAAAATAGTCCTACAAATCAACAGATTCTACTATCAAAATCAAATTATTCTATACAGGATGCTAATTTACTACAAGATTTACAATGTGATGGTGAATTATTATTCTGTCAACTTCAATCATGTGCTTTGGTAAGTAATCTTTTCACATTTAATTCAATACTGGAACTGTTCTATGCAATAAACTTCATATTATGGAGTTGTTTATTTTCAATGAGAAATTTTTTTGTCATTTTTACATTCCTGTATATTGTAACCAATTAACTAATTCTATTTAAGTCTCAAAGCTGAAAAATTTAAGCTCAAGTCTTAGCATGAAAATACTAAGATGGATTTCACATATATTGAAATGTTAATTATTATGATAGCTAAGATCAAATGTAGCTTGAATTACATTGAGAACTTTTTTACTAGATACCCTCATGAAATATTTAAATTTCACTTTCATTAACTTATTGATTAAACAAAAAGACAACTGAAGTTTCTAACACAGAAATAAAGATAAACAAACATACAGATGAGTTTAGTTATCATCAATCAGATTAGTCATTATATAATTACTATCGATTAGTAAGAATAAATTATGTAAATATAATCAAAAAGTTAGAAATAATTTGGTAATTGTTTCTACCGAATAATTAATTATCAGTCTGTTTATTGCCCTCAAATTTCATTGATTAGTTAATATAACATGTAAACGCTTTATGAAGCTTTATCTTTCGCTCAATAAATTATTGAATATTTGCTTATGTTATACGAATCAGTCTTAGTTCAGTTTTGATAGAGACCTAAAATCTCAGTACTCTTGCATTTAGTTAAACTGTTTGTTCTTAATATTATGCAAATGCGACGTTAACAATATATTTATATAGAATAAATGAAGTGTGAGTAATAGTGGTACACAGAAAGCTCATTTTTCCCTATTCTTTATTAATTTACGTTATAATAGCTACATAAGACAATCCGCATAGGATCGACCTATGCTAACCAAGGCTGATCGAATTTCAATCAAAATAACAACGGGATAATCCAAACCATGTCGACTTGAGTATAGTTATAGTTCATCATATCGTAATAGTTCAGGCAAACTGTCATATGTTTCACTTACTAACATTTCAAATGTAGAAAACCAAATAGTTTGTTATTTATGAACAAATTATCAGTATAATTTTTAAGTTGCTTGACGTTATCTATGTGTAATTGTGAGAACTTGAACAAAATATCACGCGGGAAAGTTATAGTCACAAATATTTTGAGTTCGATCCAATCTGTGTAGTGTTTACTACTTAAATATAAACTTGCTGTAACAATTAACAGATAAAAAGTATATTGTAGTTTATATAAGACCCTGACTTTTTTTAAGGGAATTCTAAGCGATTCACATTAAGGTTCAATTTGCAAGGTTGCCAGATGACACTATGAGCTACATTTACACAGTACCCTTAACTGGTTTGTGGGATCTTTGTCCGTCTGACAGTACGGATTACTTTAGTACACCGTCGGTTTGTGAATATAGATTTTCATCTGTCGTTAGGACTTCTCTTCTCCTCTACTCAGTAAATGTTCTATGAAAAGCAATAATTCATTTCAAGAATGGACTGCGATTGCGTAACCTCACTAGAGTAGTTCAAGAAAATGAGTGGGCTCCTTACATACTATTCATTATACTGGACTATTCGTAGGTTTGAATAAGTTGTAGCTGTTTAGGGAATTTACCGGTGTATTTATTCTTCCCAGACTAATAAACAATAATAAATATTTGGTGTTTAAAGTGTAATAAAAGATGCAATGAGTAAAAAAGCATATACTGTATTTTTACTTAATAGAAAAAAATGTATAACCTAACAGTTGTAATTGTACACGCAAATATACTATTACCTACTTGTCGATTTATTGGCTAAAGAACTCACTTTTCAACCAAGAGGCCAGATTTTAGAACTGCAGTCTACCTACTTGAGCTTGAGCAGCCAGGTTATATCATTAGTCCTCAAAAAGAGTGTCACCTAAAATTGACTATGTAAATCTGTAATTCCTAAATGTTGTTATCGGTTGAATAGTACTACTAGTATATAAGTACATTTTTATTAATTATGATTGCAGTATTATAATTTCTAATAACTCGTTAATTTAGAATTAGTTCAATTAAAAATAAAATATGATTAAAGGAATAAATTGGTGAAGATAATGATTCTTGAATTTCCATGAGTTTCTTCTTAGAAATTAAATTATACTCAATTTACTCCGTATAGTTTACCAAGACATTTATTTATGTAATGGAAATTAATTTGAGCGAAATTCCACTGCATATCACTAACTTCTGTTCCCTTTTTTCCTCTCAATTACCCTTTTAACTTTATGAAATCCTCAATGGGATCGATTCACTATGTATCATGAGAATAGCTTTCTTTCATTATCTCACTGACACACAAAATGTTTTAATTTTATCAGTCTTATCTTATTTTTGCGAAAATCTTGTTTATAATTTCTAACTGATAGTTATCAAGACAGAGAACAGAGTGTTAGAGAGGAGTAGAAGATAAAATAATGCAAAAGTAACCATTACTGAAAAAGGGGTCATCACTAATTCATGCTTTAGCTAGTCCTGTCATCATATATATATATATATATATATATATATATATATATATATATATATATATATATATATATATATATATATATATATATAGAGGGAGAGAGAGAGAGAGAGAGAGAGATTTCGCCTAATTAAAAACCGGAAATACTCTATAATTATTTCTTTGTAGTGTTAAGGATTTTTATTTAGTTCACTTTCAACAATCCACTTGAGATCGAACGCTCGAATTTCCTGGTGATTTTGTAACTGTTTAGACTCACAGTTGGAAGTCAGTAATTCACATTTTCAAACTTCAGTCCATTTTTGCAGTATGACATTCATTATTACACATAACCTGTTCAATAGTAGAACGACCATACACATATCCAGTGTGCGATAGTGAGCGTGTAGGTTTCTAATATATGTCACATGAAAACAATAGCTATCGAGTGCTCCCTCGCCTTTATTAGTCCACGGCTATTGTCATTTTGGAATGTAAACTATGTTCCTTGCAAACTATTTAAGCTTATGTATGTATACTGATGGTGTTGCGTCAATTTTTGTTCTTATTGCCGAAAAAAACTCAAAATGATCACTACATATTCATATCCTTTTTAAAAAATCCAACTGTAAAACGTTTTGTTTTCATTTTACAACTTATTTAGCCCACTGTACGACTGGTCGCTTTTAATAATTTCTTTAGGATTTCGCAAAGCTAAATCCTTTCAAACTAAAAATCCAAAGTATAGTCTTGTATTAGACATTTATGTATGAGGCACAATTTTGTATCATTCAGTTCATTATCTGCTTAAATCGAAGGACATAAGGAAGTATATTATTCAAATAGAAAATATCATAATGGCGATGATTTGAGAGAGAACCTAGTGAACGGAATGCACCCATTAAGACACTAAATGAAAAAGATTAGTTCGGCGAAGAGTTCTCTTTTCGGCGAATTCATTTTCAAAGCTGTACAATCGCAAATATATATACTTATTTTATAGGATGATGATAATACTGGTAATAAACCTCTGATAGATATGGTGACAGTGAGGTTAAATTAACAAAGGTATTAAATTTTTTTTAAACTAGGAAAGTTTAATAATCTTCTGATTGTTAATGGTTTGAGTACTGATAAAAAGGATAGATAGGGAAATTATCATTGGGAAAGGATGACTCAGCATAATTGCGATTGCACAGCTTTGAAAATGATTCCGCAGAAAAGAGAACTCTTCGCTGAACTAATCTTTCTCATTTAAGATCCTAGTGATTCGAATTCCTGACTTCTATATATAAAATAGTAAACACAATCCTCTATATCAATATCTAATGTTGCTACTGTTGTTTTCTGTGCATTGTGTATATTTTTCTCTCCAGGCTGTGTTTGAATTACTCAAAAATGTTGGCTACACCACGTTTGTTGAACCGTCATGTATGGAAGCTTCGCTGTATAAAAGTTGGTTAGTGTGTATATGTTTCACCTAAACTTACTTACTCATTTTGTACTACAACAGATAATTTTACATAGATGTGAATTTAAAAAAACCAGATTAACAGTAATTAGTTTCCATAAATATGTAGGTTGTTGCGGATACTCTGTTTTACTACTATCATCATTTAAACTTCCGCTATCACTGGATGAACATATAAAATGAACATGAGGAAAAGTATTCATCTTTCTTACTTGATGTGTTCCATAGTTTTTTTCTTTTCACTTTCTTTCATATACATCTCTGCTGGAAATATTTGAATTCAATATCTCGATGTTCCCATTATGTGTTACTTTAAACGGTTCTGGAATAAATAAGTGCTTTCTACGGAGTTGAACAATATTAGAATGTACTTCATCTGAATGCCAAATTGTTGAATTTACAATTAGAATATAAAGAGGCTGGAAAACTGGTTAATTAGGATGATTCTTAAATTGATAGCTGTTCTGTGATAAAACATGCATCAAATGTTATCTATTCCGGTTTGAGACGTAAGCACAAGGTCAATGGACAAATTAATAAGTCTACACTGAAGAATAAAAGCGATTCCCCATACTTATTTCACTTTCTTTACATAGAAATATTCTCTTTATTCTTAGTTGTTATTATCGTTAAATACTTTGTCAGATATTTTCCTTGGTCTATGAAATTCGTATTCAGTTTGGAATTGAATGAATTCTTATGAAAAAAAACAATAATATACACGGTTTCATATTATCTGCTTTAAAACCGGCGATAAAAATAAGATATGATCTACTATTGGTTGTTAGCAAAAATCACATTGTCTTAGTTTTTTTTACAAACTCATGTATGGTAGATATCTTATTCTAAAGCCCTATAGTACTACGGGAGATGGGAGTAACTAAATACAGATCGAGTAATTACTTTAAGGGAGTCGAACATATTTATTGCGTTTGTAGATGTTCTTTTTGATGGAGCTTTGTTCTCTGAGCTAGATGGATTAGTCGTGAAGCTTTCATCGTTATTCTGGACGGCATCGTTAGCGCAAACTTCAGGTAGAAGTGAAGTGTTCGAATTTCTCCACACATGGCTCACAGCCCGACGAGAGGGAAAATAGCTGAGCAAGTGGAAGAAAAATTGCATATTTAATGATAACTGATGCATATTACAGGATCCAGAATACCAACACGTCATAGGTGATGTCATGTATGGCGATGAAAACTCCACGACCAATCTATCCAGCTCAGATAACAAAACTCCATCAAAATAATCCACCTAAGCCATAAATGTTCACCATCTCAAAATCATATGAGCGTAGATGGTCTTTATTTGAACTCTGTAAATACCTGATCTAATTGGATAGCTCCATGAAATGATTTTCTATAATGCAAAACGTAATAAATATGCAACTAGTTGGTGATAGTTACTTTTAGAGTATCATTTGTTTAGATGGTTGATATCCTAGAGTACAGCATTTGGGTTAGTTGTAAAAGTTTGTATAACCGAGTGTAGTAATTATTAGAATAAAAAAGTTTTATCCATCACACTGTTTGATGTATGGTTTGGCACCATATTCAGTCACTAACTGTATTTATCTATCGTTATTATTAGGAGTAAAATTAAATTGAAAGTAACTTTCCGATAGTTAAAACACGATGTGACTTTATTTATTCATGTCACTAGTGTTTGGACTGTTTTGTATATATGTCTTTAGGCTTGTTATTCATAGTTTAATACACATGGGACATAGTACAATCCTTCATATACAATAATCTTGAATGAGTCAGGAATTACGACAAATTCCATATATTTCTTCAGAAAATCTTTGACCTTGACTAATAATTCCTTTACCAGTTTTATCAAACTTTGGTTGAGTACTGTTGCTACGATAATTTTAAATAATCTTATTGATTAATTAATTAGTTGTTCTAATCAAACCACCACCATCCTGATGTCACCACATTTTCATGCAATTTTAGTTGTTCCAAGTTGGTTAATTTTTTTCTACTTTTAAATAGCTATTTCGATATACATAAATCGATTGTTTTCTGCTTGTTTGTTATTTGGTATTATTTTTCACTAATCATTTATAATAATAATAATAATAATAATAATAATAATAATAATAATAATATTAATCGTAATTGTTTATACTTTCACAAAGTAATTGACGTTCAATAAAATGCTTATTTTACTGATTCACTATTGTTTATTAAATAACCAATCGTTATATTTCTGAAATGGTGTTTTGTGTTTTCAAATTGACTATTCTTGTTTTGTACTTCAATTAATCTTTTTCCCTTTGGCAAATATCGACAACTGTTGTCAGTAAATTATGGTAAAGTATACCTGTCGAAGCTTTTAAGTTGATCAGTACTGACTAGAACGTTTTTTTCCATAAAATTTAGAAAATGTTCAAACTAAAAACTTATGCCATCGTAATATAAATAGGTAACATTTGAGTAAATGGTTGATCAGATGATAAAATCTAATTACTCATTAACAACTAACTTCATACTTACTTTTACCTACCCCTCTTCGATAACAGTAATCGACTTCCGACGTTTCTCTGTTTGTATTACTCGTTTTCATTCAAAATTGACTTTACATAAGGCATTTGGCAGCCATTTCAATTGACACAACTGCCTAAACAGTTAGATCATATGGCTATTAGCCATCTTTGTCGAGGATCGGCTTAAAAATTTGTATTATTCCTGAAGCATTTGTGTGTATTTTGTTCATGGATTGTTACCTGCTTGAATATATCTGTAACTGAATGAGTATTCTAGTTTTAAAATGGAAATATCATTATTATCTTCAAGAGAAAGATGGTTCAAAAAGTCTGTGCAATTAGAGATTGTAGTAATTGACTGCATATAGTACTATGCTTACATCCTGAATTGTGGTAGGCTAGTTACCGACAAAAACTCCTTATTGCATCTAAATGCCTGTTTAATATCTACCAAGTTGTTTCATTTATAATTCCGAGTGCCCGATATGTGGTAATATTACTACTTAACAGTCCACTATACAGTCACGGCATAACCACTGAGTTTAGGTTTTTATAAATCGGGAATTTTTATGCATGACAGTGAAATCATTGAGCGGAGATTTCTGAATGTTTGGACAAGGTCTTGGTTAAACAAGATGTTTCATTTAATAAACTTTACAGCTATTCTTATAGTTTCTTGGGCACTGCCTATAGAGATCCATGTGCAAAGTACTCAATGATGGCAAAGCATTTCGATTAATAATAACAATACATGTTATCATGTTAATTCAGTTGATACTGAACAGTTAATAAGTACTCAATGAAAGATTAAGAAATTGTTTTTGTGTACTAATAAATCACTTTATATCGTTGTTAATTACTCGGATTGTTGCATTTTCATTTGGTATAGCTATGCACAAAATGAATCAACCCCTACTCATTTAAACAAAAATGGTCATGAAATTAAAAACAGTGGTACCGAAATTCTTAGTCATTCTAATTCGTATAACAATACATCAATAAAAAGTTCAAGTGTGTTCACTGATGAAGATCGTGAGCTTCTAGCTAAACTTTGGCGTTATTTAGACCCTAACAGTAGTTTATCAGGCACCAGTTCACCACCACCAAAACCTCCTCTACCTAATTTATGTCCTCTCAATATTCCATTCTCTGATCGTCGTACGGATTTAGTCAGCTCTAGTAATCAATCTTCTCAACTTAGTATGAACCCATTTGATGATCCAAACTTGTTAGCATATTTATGTACAATTGCTTCTACTGCTCAACAAAAGTACCCTTCAAATTCAAGTCCAATTAAGAAAAGTTCAGATTGTCAAAAAGAATTTACATTGCCAACCACCAGGTATGTTTCAATGTTGATTTTAACTAAAAACAAGCTTAATTTTACTGTCGTTTGTCTTCAGTTTTTTGTCTCAAGTCATTTACCATACTATGCTTAATTATTTTTTTCTTTCTTTTTAATATAACTTAAAATCAGATTGGATTTAAATGCAACTGACCACTTGTGTTTTCCATTAGTCGATGAGTCGGATACTAGTGATCTAGAGTCGAATTTCAATTATCTTAATAATTCGATTAAATTAGATAATTCTTGTACAATACAAACACCTAGTTGTAAACCTAACAGCGCATTGTTTTCAATTAAAGATGCCTCACATTCTGTTATCGAACAACCTAAACTGCCTACTAGACAAAAGGAAAAATTTGATCACTTTGATGAAACATCGCTATATTCAACAACTTGTAACGGGAAGTTTTCACATGTTCATTCCAGTCGAGTAAGCTCTTTTGTATATCAGCACCATTTTGTTTTTTTGTAATGATAGCTTATTTTGATTTGGCATATTCATGTTACTTTATGCAGTAATATTTTCACTAGTTATGTTCAAAATATTCGTTTCAAAGTACAAACTATGAATATCCTCTATAGATTGTCACATTTTATGTAAGCTAAAAGAGAATATCTAATGAACAATGGACTTTATCAGTGGAAACCTTTAAGAGGTTAACTTAAATACCACCAACCTACTTGCCAGCAATATGCATTTTTTCATAGCTAATTAGACTTAACTAGCGTTGTCTCTATATGTGTACATAATGTATTCTACCTAATGGATTTCAGTGTGTTATGATCCTACCCACTCACATCAAGTAATTCTTTATCTTGTGTAGAAAGCGAGATTCGGTATGTTGAATACACACTGATATCTTTGTTTTCTGTTTCCCTCCTTAATATTTTACCGATTTGTATTATATTACTTGGATAAAGTGATGGTTTAATTATTAGAAAAAAATTCTTAAGCAAATGCATTCTCATGTTCTTGGATAAAAAGTTTCTGTTGTTCGAATGCTAGATGATGATAGAAAACTTTTATTCGATCACCTACTATGTAGTAACGAATTCCATGTTTGTCTAGTCCTTTAATGGTGATTAAATCCTATCGATCGAGTTTCAGTTTGGCCACTAATCTCAGTGACTGAACAACGCACACACTACGTTTTTTTGATGTTACACTGTTATAGGTAGCCTCATAAATAATGATTGAAACCTGATAAATGAACATTAATCAATACATAATTTCTTTTATGCACTCATTGCCTTATTTATGTGAAATTGTTCATTCAAATTGTGACAAATGTTTGTGCAAACATCGGGATGATTCACAACTAATATTTCTCACATAGATTGTATGGCTCGTGTATTGCTCAGGTTCTCAATAATAGTGTGAATAACTTTTGAATGATTGTTGTATTTAAAGTTTGAAATTCTGATAACGTACTATGTGAGATTATATTAACCAAACACAACACCTCTATCTAACCTATTGTCCTCCTGAGAAGTAGTTAATCTATTTCAGAAATTCTTAATTTATTGCATTGCTTCACTAGAAATTGTCAAACGCTCAATAATTTTTTGTCAATTGTTTTTTGTTGTGTTTGTTTATAGTTTTAATATATTCAATAAAAGTGCTTATACAAAAGCCTAAATCCACCGAATGTTGCCAACACCTATGAGTAGTGAAATGATTTATTTCATCTAACTCTGAATAGGTTTTTACAAAGTTTGTGTTGAGTTTAGTCAAATCACTTATTAAAGAATGTACGATCAGGATTGTTCTTATATACCGTAGTACTTTAAAACTATACAACCAAACCTAAGGAATATCATTTGATAAACAGATAATTTTAACCTATTTGAAGCTTATTATTTTTACAAACGACAACAAAATCCTTCATTCTAGCCTTAGTTCAACAAAGTTTTGTTTACATTATTTCAATCGTTTAAAAATTCACATTATATTTCTATCAGTATTTTTTGCTATCGATTCAGCTATATACATACGACTCATTGTAACTTATCTCGGTTAAATATCTTGGCGTCACTTTTTAAACATAAAATTTAATAACTTATTGATTATCTGGTCTCAATGTAAAGTTGTTCGCCTCAATGTGTTGTAATGTATTGGCAGTAAACGTTTGCTGTAAATTACCAGATAAAGTTACTTCAAAAATCTGACTAAATTATTAAAACAGATTTCAGAATAGGACAATTATATATAAATGTATCACTTATTTTCTTTTTTTTACGTCGTTTTCTCCGTAACTTATAAATCATAGAGAATCGATAGTGATATAAAATATCCTGTATATACATTTAATTTCATCTAGACTGAAGTCATGTACTAATATATCAACTTCAAACAATCTAGTTACGCGAAGTTAGATAACATGCCTAGATTTATACATTAAAGTTTGAGCGATTGTTAAAGCTTCATCGACGAAACAGGATACAGTGGTTCTAAACTAGTCATGTATTAATTGAATATACATTGAGAGACTAGTTTACTAGTTGACATCCTCACTTTACTCATGTTTATATACATTAGTTCAGATTTGAAATTAATTATCGTCTGTCAATGGATTCTTCAGGATTAAATTTCAATACTTCTCTTCTATTTCTTGAGTACAAATTGACCTGTCAGTACTCTCTTTAATGTTAGGTAGTAAAAATCCTAAAGTGAAATTCCCATTGGGTTACCGATTCGTATGTATATTTGAATATTTTTCATAAATAGTTAAAAACTTTCATGAAACAACTTTAAATTTACTATTATATTCATATATTGTAATATTTAGAAATTACCATTTCAATTGAAAGAATGTAAATACTGGTCAAAATCAATGTCATCTGCAGATTCGAACAATCCACTTAGTGATAGTTTAATGCAGGAGGAAGTAGCAAAAATGGTGATGCATTTACAAGACAATGATTCGTGTACTTCACATCAGGTAATTTATAGTTTGGTGTTTCTATTTTGGTTTTTATACAACTTGTTGCTGTTTTGAATACCTATATGTTTACATATCTTACCGTCATTACTTTGATAAGGTGAAAAATGGTGTAGAAAACAGTTGACATCATCTAATAAATGACCAAACTGTGTAAATCACTAGGTAGCTATTTCAAAAATAACTTCTTTATAATTACAAAATGTGCCTTACTACCTTCAGTTTTAAAGACCATGATGTGTCATACATGAACTGAAATCCAATGATTTATAATTTTTGACTTATGAATTGAACTATTAAATTTCTTATTATTATTCTGCTTTATTAAGTAGACAAGTGTCTTTACCTTTTATTCCATCGATCATTACCTCTTATTACTTCCTAGTGTAAGCTTTTGATGATTGTTGATTAATTTGTTAAATGATGCAACTTTTTTTATCTAATACCTGAAAACTAATTAAATTGAAATGGCACCCTTTCATTTACAAATTATTGTACTCAATACTTGTAAAAAAGTTTTGATAATCTTGGCTATATTACGCGACACCAGTTCATTAAGTTTAACTATCTTTGATAATTTTGTAAAACCCCTCTATTTTAATATGGACTGGTACGTGTAAAAAATAATTGATAAATATATAAATGCAAAATTTCATAAGATGATATCGTTCAAACGAAAATGTCGTTTGTTGAGACATTTTAATTCTTTTCAATGAATAAAACATTTTTCACAGATTTAAATCATGAGTCAGTTGAAGCTAGACCACCATTGAAAACCTGGAAACACTGGACGGCCGTTTCGTCCTAGTATGGGACTCCTCAGCAGTGCGCATCCACGATCTCGCACCACGCGGGGCTCGAACCCAGTTGATTTCAACCGTTACAATGTATATAGATCGTTAGTTTATTTTCAGTTATTTAAGAAAGACTTTATTATCGGTTGTAAAAGTTAAATAACTTTGATGATAATTTCGACTTACACGCACTACTTTTGGGTACATACATATCCTGTATCATTTCATTCTATGTCAGTTACATATAAAATGATGTACTACTGTATAAATTAATAAAAGCGGATCTTAAATTTGTGTGTTTACAAAATTGAACTCGTTGGGTAATTATTATCTGGCTTTTCGAACTTAATTATCCATGTATAATCTATTTATAAACTTCAAAGAAGGAAAGTGATATCAATACAAGATGTATTTTGATATCGGTTTACTTATACCAGACAAGTCCTTTCCTTTACTGTACATCAGCGTCTTCTTAGTTAATACATTAGAACATTTATTGTAGTTAGATAGCTTTAGTAAATCGAAAGATCATACAACCTACTTATGGATATTTCCGCATTCTTCTAACAATATTGATTTGGTTTTGGTTATTTTATAAATATGTAAACGTGTTTTTTTCTTGAAAATTATATCTACACTTATTAACAAATGAGTTTTTGTACATTATTCCTTATGAGGTGTGTCGTTTATGTTTGGGTTATTTATAGAAAACAAGGAAATTTGTTAGTAGAAAACTAATAACGTTTCAGTTTTGCCTTTAAACAAAATATTGTGCTGTTTGATTTATGCTTATGATTAAAAAAAAGAAGAAATTACATAAATTATGTGCCTGTTGTGATATTTTACGGTGCTTTTTTATTGCTTAAATTAGTTGTACTCTTTTGTTATTTGCTCATACCTATCTTTTTTTGTTGTCGTAACGTATTTCATTTAATTTATTCCATAAACCTATTTATTCTTTCAAAGCGTTTTTCTTTATGTTTAGTCATTCCTTTGCTAATTTATCTTGTTAATTTCACCTTCCTGTACTGATATGGTAGAATAACTTGTATTGATATACATTTGTACCATATCCTGTAGTGATTATAATTGATTGGTGTAACTTTTTCCTGGTACTCAATGTAATTACTTTAAGTAAACATATTATCATCTTATAAGTATATTTGTGATCAGTAAGTTGATCAACCGTTAACTAAAAAACGCGTTATTAACAATAACATTTATTTAAAGCATATTTTAGTGGTCATTCTTTCCTATTCTGCTCATGTTATGAATATGATTATCAGTAATAGATTGTGTTTTGTGTTTTCATGGCTTTGTAACTATACTACTGGTAAATATAATTAAGTTTAAGGTGTGATCGCTTTTTCTTTAATAATTCAGTGTAAAGTTTAAGTTAATAACAACTCGGAAATATTTCTCAGGTGATATTCGTTTGTTATTTCCCTTTAATACAATTTATAATCGATTGAGATGATCGATAATATCTTATCTTAGAACGTATACATAAAGCATATTATTGATTAATGTTAATAATTGACCAAGTATAATTTATATACTCAAGTTTAAACCATACTATTTTTATGAGAGCTTGTTCATACAAACTAGTTAGAATAAGTTAATCTATTCTGTTCCTAGCGATTTCGAATTTATTTTCATGGAAACCTAATGGATTTCATTGATTTAGTATTTGCTTTTAATTCATGCTATGATTGTTGTCATTATCATCACAATATAACATTCTCAACTGGAAATATTTTGTTGTGTTCGAAGAAAAAAGCATAAATGAAAAAAATGTTATATTTGTTTAGTTAAAATAATTCATTATCATTGAAATCACGAGCCAGATTAGCTCTACTGGTCACGGCTTCTCACTAGAATACCAGAAACTTCCTCTCGTAGCTAGTGACCAGTGGCCACATGACAGTTGTCAGTATTGGGTTTTGGAGATTGTTGAACTTCATTAGAATCCGTGTCAGATATGAGGTAGTTACTCGCCAAACACAATGGAAGATGATCACTCAATGTTGTTGCGTGATTAAGGTTAGACATTAACACTGTTGAATGCCGGCTTAGTGGTTTAGAGGTTAAGCACTCGTGCGCGAGACGATAGGTTTCAGGCTCGATTCCTAGTTGCGGAGTCGTGGATGTGCACTACTGGGAAGTTTAGGAACAGAACGAGACGGCCATCTAGTGCTTTCAGGTTTTCAATCATGATCTAGCTTAGATAGGTTCATGACTTCAATGGAATTCGACAAACTCCACAACCCCATACTGAAAATAATTCATTATAACTTTTATACCGTAAAACGATTTTAACAAAACTATCAAGTGCGTAATATTCTTTTGCATAGTTTAAGTCACAACAGTTCTCAAGGAAAGAATAAATATAAAATAATAGTTAGCTGACCAATAACTTCGATATTTTAGTCAACAGCAGGAAGTGTATCAAGCATCATATTAAATAGTTGGATAGAAACCACTTGTAATAGTTTCAAATCCTTGTCTAGAAACTTCACAACGTAGTGCATAAACTAGATTGTAATTTATAACACCAGGATTATGTTGAATTACAACTACGAGACAATATAAGTTATACAAATTATCTGAAGACTATCAAACTATAGATTTTTATTTAGTGTAAATATGGTTACACTGTCCTCATCTTTGTAGTAGCCTAGTCTTATTTTTCCTAAGGTAATAAATATTACACAATGTGATGTAGCTCATCGAGTGCAGATCTATGTACTCGACTTTTAGTCACAATTTGTGTATGAGGTTTAGTGCTATTATCTGGCTATCCAAAATGAAGTAATAAAGGGGGTCTTGAACGTGCGACTTAGTTTTTGAAATTCGTGCCTCTTAATTACTAAGTCACCGATCTAAAAAGAGCATTGTACAAACCGATAGGCAAGTTTTTTCTAATAATCAGTTATTACACATTTCATGAAACATAAAATTTTCATTTCACCACAGTTATAAAATTGTATTTCATATCTTTGTAGAGTTTGTGAATTTATATATGTGTGTATGTACTGCATATCACCAAATTTTAAAGGGTTTGTCTAGAAAGTCAAACTAAATTTCATACATAACGTATTTGTTCTACATAAAACATGCTTAGAAATTGGTGTTACATTTACAAAAAGAAAAAAAAACTTTTGATATTTATGTAATTAAGAATTAAGCTATCATATCGCTATCGTTATGTACGGTGGTATTTGTACCTTGTGTTAGTAATAATTGTAAACAAGTGTTTGCTTTTCTTACTGTATACTAACTCCTCATTTAACAAGTTCATATCATGATTTCAGTTGGCACTGTTCGTTTGTTGTTCTTTTAACCACTTATTTTTTTCTCAAGAATTCATTTGCATGTTTTCAATATATCTTTGTGTATAATTTATTACGTTCAAATGTATTTGTTTACATAGTGAAATATTTATTTTTCTTTGTTTTAGATATAAATGTTACCTTATTATAATACAATAGGTCATAAGTGTAGTCGAAATGTTCTACCATATTATATATATATATATATATATATATATATATATATATATATATATATATATATATATATATATATATATATATATATATATATATATATATATATATATATATATATATATATAGTTAACGTTACAGTTTGCCTTTTTTTCTTGTAAGGGTTTTTCTCATTAACTTTTTTCTCTACGTTCTTCGTAACCTTATACCAATTCAACTTGTTTTGCTAATGTAACCATTTCTTTTTTCATTTGTTGATGATATCATTCTTCATTACTGTTACTAGTTAGTTGTTGAATAATGATTCATCATAAAATCAAAGTGAAAATTTATCGTTGTTTATCGACTAGTATATATTTTATGCATCTTGCTTTGGTTACTTTTTGGGATTTTTTTATAATACAAATCAAAGATAAGCCATGTATGTTTTATGTATTCTTTTTTTGAAGACAAAAGACTCCCTTTTCATTTGATTCTGTTTATTTTACCCTTTAAGTTCATTTCCTACATTAAATGTTACGTATTGAACTTGAAACAAGTATTTCTAAGAAAATCAGGTCATTGTTTAGATAAAATAGTTTAATTAGATAAGATAAAACACTATAATCTTTTACGATATATGTTCAAACCTCGCACCATCTACTATGGCTTTGGTTGATTGATAATATTACTATCCTTCAGATAAAAATTATGATTTAGTTTCTCTTAAGGCAACTTGTATTTACTTATCAATTTAACACGATATTTATAAATCTAACGAATATCAATTCTTTGCATTCTATGCACAGTTTCTTGTCAAACGACCACCTAATTTAATTTAGATACATTAATATTATAGTGTTTTTAGAAGTACTGTTATAAAAGTATACACATTAGAATATCCAGTTTGTTGTGGTGTTCGCTTTATTTTTTTAATGATTGTTTTTACGAAAACACATAGGAACAAACTCGATACCTTATTATTTTGCTTATATTTTGTGAGATACGTTTTCATTTATTCTCTCGTAAATTTTGATAGCTCACTTACCATTTATTGAGTTGTATTACTTATTTTGTTTATGATATAATCACTTTATTTTTAAAATTTAGAAAATAAGTTTGTTGCTCGTTAAATAAGACTCATTTAATCCTTTTTGGCTGATGGATTAATTCGTAAATGTATACTGATATCGATGATAAGTTCGCATTCATGTTCCAGTTTTTATTTGCACATATGCTAATCTTACTGTGTTCCACCTCATATATGTTGTTCTCAATATTCGGTTATTTTGACCACGCGATTTATATTCCATTGTGTAGGGGGTTATTGTCGCACTGTTGTGTGTCACTCTCCCGAACTCTCGAGATCGCATTGGATCCCGTTCGAATCTTTATTCTTCGTAATTAAGAATTACCGTCGGCTAGGCGGATCACAAAATATCACACCAAGTTGTCTAAAGTTTCTGTACGTAGCAGCAAACAGAAATTTCTAAGACGTTTTTTCCAATTATGATATAGTTTGTCAGTGACCTGTCCCACTAACAGCACGTCTAGAAAATAATCTAGAATGTAAACCCTATTCCGCAAATCATTGTTCTTGTAGTTTTTCAACAAACCTTGGTACACCAAAACCCTGTTATTTTCCGTCTATTTCTTTACTTTCAGTAAAACATCTGATTATTGTATATAAGTAGTTAGCTACTAGACGTCATTACTTTCTTGAAGAATAGTTTCCTTTCTTTGTCATGAAAAAAACAAATTTTCAATCCTAACCAAATGCTTAAATAATATCATAAATGCCATCGAAATCATGGACCGATTAATATTAGACCACCATTGGAGACCCAGAAGCACGATGTCTGTTTTACTATAGCATGGGACTGCTCAGCAGAGCATCCACTACCTCACACCTGAGAGTCGAATCCAGGACTTTCGGTCTTGAGCAGATGCCTACCCTTAAGACCAACGAGCTGGCATCCGACAGTGTAAATGTCTATCATCAGCCAATTTACGAAGTTGCACGACTATCTTCTATTGTTTTCAGCGAGTAATTGCCTCACACTTCATACGGTTGAACTCAGTTAGTCACGGTTTCTCACTAAAAATTCAAGAGCTACCTTTCGTAACTAATCAGTATTTAACACATGATAATTTCTGGTATGTACTTGCAAAAACTATTGAATCTCTTTTCATGGGAGTCCTACACTAGAACGAAATAGCCGTCTATTTCTTACAGGTTTCTAATGGAGGTCTAAAATCGATCGGTTCATGATTTTGATGAAATTCTACAATTTTCACAATCTCATACTGTAAATAGTGTAAGAAAATTTCATGTTTATCAATTCCTGATTGACGTTATTTGTTAACTTTTGTTATTGTTAAAATTTCTCCCTTTACATCTTACTTGATCATTAATAAGAATGAATGAGGATCAGCTGATAATTTAAAATAATCACTATGATTATTATCATTATTATTTTTTTAATCCATCAAAATTAATGAAATTCTTGTAGCTCATTACTTCCTATACCATATAAGCAACAATAACGATAAAATTATTTCTCTAAATACGATACTTTGGTTGTCTAAAGAATAATCTATTAATCTTTCTATGGTTTATATTTCAAGTTATTAGATGTGCTTTCTTTTTACTGATTTTTATGGTAGATTTATTGATAAGATTAGTAGGATTCAACATCATATTAAAAGTAATAAAAAAACATAATAAGGGACTTATTTTATTTTAACATGCTACTCATATTTGTGTTGTTTTGTTCATTCTCATATATTATTTTTTGTTTGTTAATATTATGAATGTCCAGTTGAAAAAAAAAGAGTTTCTTTGAGTCGATCTAAGCTAGATCACAATTGAAAATCAGGTTTACAATGGTGATCTAATTTAGGTTGACTCATATATTCAACTATTAAAATCACTACAAACTCCCCTTCTGATATCAAATTGTTGTTTCTATCTTGATCTCTACATAGTGTGAAATAGTTTGATCTACGTTTTTTTAATCATTAGTTTTATTGACGTTTTTATTTTCTCTTCACACAGCTGGAAAATCCTCTAATTACATGCACATCAAGTGCGAGTAACTCCATTGCTACTAGTTCGTCTGATACGACTGTTACTACTACTAGCACTACACTTACTACTGTCATTCCAAATGAACAAAACACTTCAACTTTAAATAGTGATGCCAACTGTGAATCAATGACATCCATTACTGAGGATATTGACGATCGTTCACCTAATTGTCATTCTGAAGTAAAATCCGATACAGAAGATGTTTATGAATTCATTGAAGCAAATGGTAAAAAGTATCGACGTCATTTTCAACGACGTGTTGTCATTGAACGGCATAAAGTTAGAGAAGTAAGTAAATCTCGTTATTCTTTTTCTCTTTGTTTGTTAGTTTCTTTTTCTGTATTTTACAAAATGATTAAAATTAGTTCTGAAAGATTGAAAACAATGCGTGCTTTTTTCTCTCTCTTAATATCATCCAACAATATACAACGTCAGTATAATTAAAAATCATGAATTCACTGTTGTATTTTCTAATCATCAAAAAGACATTTATTTATAATTCGTGTAGGCGTCAAATTTGAGACATTACAGTTTGCTATTGTAGCATAGATTTAATATATTGAATTTAGCTTGTCGACTAAATCTCAATATCATACCTCCTCTGCTTACAAGTTATCGAAAATTTCCATTTGACATACTAATGATAATAATAACAATAGAAAAAATGTCATTTTAAAACCATTTTATAAGTTAGATATAAATAAATTGTTTCTTTTCTAAGGTATTTTTATTAGTTAAAAGTCATAATTCATGCCTACTATTTTCCGATATTCTACACTATCGATTAACTGATACTTTAGTGGATGGAGTTGTATTGAATCTGTTAATTCTAAACTTCCGATTGATTTAGGTCTGCATTGTGTAGTACATATATACTTTACATCATTGGTTTAGTATCTGTTTTTTATTTTTTGGTTCACTCATTTGATATCTACCATATTACTCTCGCAGTTCAATGTTTTTTTTTAAATCTTGAGTGATTTTCAAAAATCAGCTCTTTTCCTCTCTTCAGGTACTTGTTCGCTGAATAACTATATCATTTTAATTGTAAAAGACTTTTAGGTTGTTTTGAAATTAGTGATTTGAATTATAACTAGTTTAACATAAAGATGCAGTAATCCTTACAGTTCCTTGTACGCATGACTAAACTATGACTACAGTACTTTCTTCAGTCAACTTACATCTGTTCACATTCTATTTTGAAGTTAATGACAATCTGCCACCATGTGACCCGAAAATATCTTCATTTGTTAATAAATTTGGCAAAATTTGTGTTCTGGATTATTCCTTGCTTTCTGTTAATCTCAGGAGCATTATCAAAACTTGAATATTTCCAAGTGTTAGCCATCTGTTTTGTGAAGTGTTATAATTCGTTGTTTTTCCGCTGTTCTAAAGTAATGTCAAATATTTACTTCTTACAGCTTTGTGCACTATATATATATATATATATATATATATATATATATATATATATATATATATATATATATATATCACTTTCAGTCGATAATCATTTATATAAGAATTCAACGTGACTATTTTTCAATGTTACATGGATCAATTTTTGTCATTTTTACCGTCAGATTATATTAGCACCATCACTTCCAGATGGTATGGGACCAGATCTTAATCGAGTTACACTCAGCCGATCTGATCAGATAGATGGTAAATCCGTCAACAACAATAGTAATAATGAAGTTATTCCACCAATTGATAAATTATCATTAAATAACTCTTGTAACTCTTCTTTAAATCATATCAATGCATCGAACTCTCCTGAATTTAAACCTCGATTCGGAAAATGGAATATTTCCTGTAATAATGCTGCTAATGAACGCAACGATTGTATGGATCATGACGATTTAGAAGAATCCCAGTTCACCACAGCTGACGCTGGACCACCTAAACCATCTTTACCGAATGAGAAACCATGTAAGAGATTATTGTATAGTTTTAAATTTTGTTTGTAAAACATCCTATTTTACTAATAAAAACTATAATCTACAAATGTCACAGTAATATATATATATATATAACCAGAAGATTGTAATCAGTTAAAATCTAACTGTGTCTGCTACACTGCCTCACAATTTCCAAACTAATAATAATTGGATACCAAGCCAACAAACTTATAATTGTATAGATAACTTAATAACTTCATTTCTTCATTCATCTATTCAATCATAGGATAGATTGTTATCCATTTGACTATCGCATCTCAACTTATACATATGATATTGTTTTTTCAAGAATAGTATGTCATCAACTAAGTGAAATATGCTGTACATATATGTAGTTTCGTCACATCAAAATATAATTAGGTTACAATAGTATAATTATGTATTGTTTACTAGGGAAAAGTATTTCATAATTAATGTACAGAAATGTGATTGCATAATAAATGCTGATTGACTGTATAAATAAATATCATAAACACACTTGAGTAGTTTATTTGTTTTACAATTTTATTGATAAATTAAAATGTAGAAATTTATTAGCTATCATAATATGACTATTAAACCGGTTAATTCTCTATCAGTATTCGTAGTTTCGCAGTTGATTTCATCATCCATATTTGTTTAGCTTTTTACTGTTAAAAAACTTACGGTATCCCTCTGATTGTATTGTTACAGCAACAAATAGAATCAGATCTGTCATACATCACAGATAATGTACGACATGCAGGAAAAAATAGCAATTACCAGCCTGTATTTGTTTGTTCTCATTTGATATGTTGGACACTTTTCATTTTTCTTCATTTGGATGATATCATAAAAAGACTTAAAAATTAGTCTGTATTGAAAACCAATTTAATATATTTCCCATGTTCACTGAAAGATCACGATCTGAATAGATTTGGATTGGATTTCCTTTAACTGTAGCTAAAATGTTTAGTTCGGTTGGATTTCAGTAGTATATTAAACATATCGTCATTGAGGAAATCTTTAGCGTTCTTTTATGTATGCTTGAATTACTATGCAAAGCTTATTGACAAATGTTTGCCTCCATTATATATAATCTCATTTCAGTGATTAGTTATATGTTTCGATTCGGATCATCTGATTGTGACAATCCAGATGATGAACGACGTTTATCTGATCGATTAATTGATTTTTTCCGTGATCAATGGTTAAAAGAAGAGTCTGCAGCAGGACCACATGAACGTAAAAAAGTTATTTCTTATACACAAAGTTATACACAACCTACAACCAATGGTGATTTTATTCATAAATCAACGTGGATTCAACATACATGCACAGTTCGAATGGTGAGTTATGTAACTATTTTTCTCATAAATCTATAACTACGTTAACCACTAATCTCATTTTATTTGATATTAATTAGTTCAAATAAATGAAAAGAATGTAAATGGAATTGTGATCCGTACACTATGTACTCATTTCTTTATGAATTAACAATTTAAATCTAAAGATTAAAATGTGATGCATTCCATGTAGGTAGTTTGGTAATAAATAAAAATATGTTATGTATGCAAAGTTATTTAATATATAATTTCACAGAGAAATTGTTTTAATAATATTGTTTTTATGAAGTTATCTGAATCCACTTATTTTTTTAATTTTTAGTAATCGTAATGGTGAATAAGTTCAGCGGTTTGTTTACATTCTTTTTTCTCGGTTTATTTGTATTTTAAAAGAGTGACTAATCCTTACCTTCTAAAGTACATGATTTAATAGACCTCTTTATATAAGGTATCCAATTTAATGTGATTTGTTAGCATATTCTCTAGTGCTGTTAAATGTATGCCGGTGGTTTTCACATTCCGGGTTGCCCACACCTTTGAAAGATAGTTTTTTCAGGTACCTGAAAAGAAAACCGGGTTACGGGTGGTCCTGACAACCTGGCTGTATTACTGTTGAGCCTAAGGAGTTACTCGTTGAGGCTGGCCACACATGAACTCTGTACGAGTGGTTCGTGAATTGACAGCTCCGTATATTAAATGCCTTATCTTTGGCGATGGAAATCTACAGAGAAGGGTGAGGCGTACCATATTTAAGATCGATCTTTTTGAACCCCAACTTTCTGTTGTGAAAATATAGCATCGTATCGCATGCTGGTTGTCTGAGGGAATCACTGTACTACCATCAAACTTTGTACAGTCATCAGAATGACTTTGATCTCGGGCCCTAACCTATTACTTTTAGTGTTACTGTTCTTCGACCAACTTATTAAAAGTGTTCCAGCCAATATATCTTAATTAGTTGATCACGATATCTAACCGCAATCAGCATGACAGAGTAACAGCTACTGTCAGATTTGTAAGCATAATTGACTTGTTAAACAAAATCAACTTGTTGTACTCAGTCTTTCATATCACATATATTGTTTGTTACCTGTACACTGAAAAATATGTAATTGTGGCTCTACACAAATTGTTAACGGATTTTAATACATGGTAGATCTAGATAATTGTAAATATACACTGGTACGTGCCGCTAAATAATGAGAGTTTTTGTTATTCTTGTTAAAATTGATACTGGATTCCAAATAAAGTCAATGATTATAAAAAAGATACTAATATTGGTGATATATTTAGAAAATGATCACATACAAATGTATAGAACTCTTTTGCGGGGAATTCGAACTACGAACTTTCCGAAGAAACACTGATACCCACTTTTTAAATGTCATTGTCTTCATAGTTCAGTTGATCAGAAATCTTGGACCTGAGATAATTTAGACCAATAAGGTCATGTATAGCATGAAATGATAGTGGGAATAAACATTCAAAGTTATTTTATTGGTAGTATCTTCGTTACTGAAAATCGTTCAAGAGAAATCATTATTCCAAATGTAAATTGACCCGGGGACTCAGAGTTATAAGTGAGAATGAAAGATGTGACTATTGGTTTCCTAGTTAGACTTGTGGTCTTACTCTTACTTGCCAATTTCAGTCATTGATTTTAAAGATTATGATCTCAGAGCACTCACCATTTTCGAAATAGCAATTAGTCATTGGTGAAGTCAGATGAACATCAAGATGTTAAAATAGTTGTAAGAAACGAAACAACTTTATTGTAATAATTGCGTCTGGTATCTCTTTTAATATACATTTAATATATCTTTTAAAAAAATAGAATATTTTGCTCGAGATAGCATTAATACAACTTTTTATCAATACTTTGTTCTGTAACTTGTAACTGAAAAATCTTCCGTTCATTTTAACTGATAACATAAATATCCAAACTATGAATTAGTTAATAGTTTTATAGGTTTTGATTACAATATACTCATTTTTTAATCCAGAAGCATTTGCTTTTAAAGTAGAAAAAATCACCCTTCACAATATCTTTTTCCGAATGTGCCGTTGAATAAAAGCTGTTTTTTTCAGGCTTCATTTCATCTAGTCATTTTATCCCGTTTCCGTGGACTTTTTACGAAAAAACTGTTATACTGGAATGATTGATGATTACAGATAGTTATTCACCGAACCAATCTTCGTATTCTGAGGGAATATTAAGAAAATAAAAGCCTTGTCTGTCTAACTGAATAGTGTATACTAATGAAATAAACCTGTCAATTATACACAGAAAACTTAGCTTAGAAAGTATAAATTCGAATCACTTAGTTTTTAAGAAGACAATAGACTGAAAACGAAAACTTGAATCATTTCGAATCTGCTAAATCTAAACTTTTGATTGAAATATTTAAATTTGTAGAAAAGTATTACTAATATTTATAAGTAATGTAATTAAGTGGTCAGTCATATAGAAGCAACTATTTTTATGGTGAATAATCAAAATAATCCTGTTGTGATACTTTGATTACTTTGTTTCGATTTCGTTGTTTATATAAGCACATTTTACAAATAACGTTTTGGTAATTATTTTTGTTTTTATATTCTATTCCAGGTTGGAGGTCTTCAAGGATTAAAAGCTCAGGTGGGTTCAATGTATTTTGTTTATTAAAAATTTGTATTATGCTATTATAATTTCACCTTTAGGTGACCATCAGTATGTATGAGACTAAACAAGCCACACAGTTGGATGGAATAGAAAAAGATTGATAAAGTATTTCCTGTTAATCAAAATAAACAGTAAACATCTGTAGTATAAATGACTCATTACTTCGTTAAAAAAATGTGGTTAACTCCAAGGTATTTAAATCATGTTTTATATTGTTACCAGATATTTAAAAGACATAGGAGGTGTTATTCATTAAACAATCTTTTACATAATACATTTAGTAAACAAACTACCATGCTATTATCTTTAATTTTAAGTAAGTCACGAAGTTGTGTCGTCGTTATTATTTTTCGTGCTTGTTTTTACTACTTACAACTTTTCAGTAGCGACAATTTAAAAATAAATTTTTAAAGCTGATTATATAAACTTAGTCGAATGATACAGAATAGTATTCTTTTCGCAGTACATCAACCCAGCGAAACTCTGCATTGGGAAGCAGATTTTAGCTTACATTTGCTATAAATCACATATTAGATTCTCAGAGAAAGAAATATTAATCAAAAACTTTATACATATTTTGGCTTGTAGTTACCAGTGGTTGAGTCTTGTATTTCCATCCTACTGTTTTTACTCAATACTCTAATACTGGAGGTAGAACAACGCTGTTCATTTTCTCAAACTATTAAAAATTTCTTCGATATGACTAAAAGAACTCAATTCAGGGGTACATTGTTGTTATTTAGTTTTCTCTAACATCGCCTTTCTTACTGTTCTCAACAAAATATAAACTGACCGTTTCAATTATTAGTTTTCTCACAAGCTGATTCATTTATTTAGTATATAGTTAATAAAGTTTATTGTATATATTTTTAATTGGCCTTACAATTGTTTCCACATTATCGCTTTTGTCTCCTCTTTTCAATCAATGACACAACTATTTTTATTGCGCCTAATTTATTTGACTGTAATAAAAAGTATCATCGAGTGTTTCATGTATCGTATCAAATTAAATTGTTAACTGTTTTCTATCGATTTTTATTTCATGTACAATTTCATCATTATTGATAGACATCTTACAATTCATTCCATCTAATTACTATTTGCTTAAATCCAGTTTTCAACAATAGCTATGTATAAAACACGCTTGCAACTGGAAAAGTAAAAGTAGTATACTGAACGATAATTCGGTAGAGAAAACCAATTTATTGTTGAATACAAGATTACAGTGTGTTTTCGTAAAATATAAAAACCATACATTAAATACATTATTTTCACATCTTCCTTCAGTTGATCTTTACTTGCTTCATGATTCTTTCAATTCTGTTGTTATTACAATTGCTTTTTGTTTTCCTTTCTATTCTCTTCAATTCAATTTTCTGTTGCCAGGCATTCCACTTCCAATTACTGCTACATTCTACTTTTATCTGCCAGCATAAGTAGCATGCACTACAGTACAAACATACACTTAAATGTAAATCCTTATCGTCTTTTTTTTCCTGTATAGTAAATATTTGGTTTGTCTAATAATTTCTAATTTCATGCTCATTATGATTTTTTTTGCAATTTACGCTCACAATACTTTACAATGTTTATAACAATGAAATTTATTTATTGAATAACGTATGAATGTATTTTTACGAAAACCACTATTGACTACTTAATAAAATAATTTCATTAACTGGTATCTTAAAATACATGTAGAAAGTTCACTTAAAAGAGAATTCTGAACTTCGTGTATAAATGGTTCTTCTTTTCTTCTCAATGTTATTATAAACATGTTACTGAATAAATTGTCATTTGTGTACCGTAGGTTGGAATGTATATTAAAATTTCCTGTAACTCTGAAGTGATCAACAATATCAGTATAAGTTTGTGAAGATTGTTGAGTTTTAATTGAGATAATGTGCCGATTTATCATGGATTACTTGAATGTAGACATTAACACCATTGTATACCGGTTCAGCGGTCTAGACTGTATGTGTTCGAGCGCGAGACCAAAGGTCCTGGGTTCGGGTCCCGTGTGTGGGATCGTGGCTGCGCGCTGCTAAGGAGCTCCATACCAGAACGAAACGGCCCTTCAATGCATCCAGTTTCCAATGGCAGCCTAACATTGATCGGTTTAGCCAATAATAGTTACTTTCTTCAGTTGACTATGTTTTAGTGAGTTATTTTGTAAACGTTCATTAAATCTAAAGTAAATTTTCATCGTATATTGTGCGTTTAATCTAATAGTAGTCTTTTGATTGTTTTGGTAAAATAACAAGATTACGGACATTCAAGTTTACTAGACTCATTCGTTTTCACTGATCCATAGGTAAGGAGCATAGTCTAATGGCTAAATAAGTAGATGAATATTGTAAACTACAATAGGATCAGAATATTTATAATGAACGAGAACTCTGGTGAAAGATAACCGATTCATTATTTCATACAAAATTACGGAATGTCTTGGTAAAATATGAGAACCATACATCAAATGCTTCATTTGCAAATCTTCCATCAATTGTCCTTTACATTCTATCTGATTCTTTCTGTTCATAATTATTTTCTATTTCCCTTTCTGTTTTCTTCACTTCGATCTTCTTAGCCTTGTGCTGCCAGCTATCCTATCTTTGATTGGTGTTACATACTACGTATGTTGACAGACATAAGTAGCATACACCACATATTACTTCAACAAAAAATGATTGTGTTGTACTAATTGGAATATATGAAAAAGAATATTTGAGGTCATCTGGTATCAGGATGTTATATTCATCGGATCACCACTATCGTTTAAGTATTTTTCTATGAAATCATGGGATAATTTTTGTAGAAGTAGTGATCCTATGTAACGTAAATCAATCCATAGTCATCAGTGTTTTCACTATAAAAGTAAATCTTAAGTATCTCAGTTCAGTTTGTGGCATCCTTTTCTATGATGTTCATACTTCTTTTTGACGGAGATATTCTGGACTATATTGTTTGTCTGGAGTTAAAATAAGTTTCAGAATATAAATTTCTCAGTCATATTTTGCAATTATTCTCACGAGACTCGTTTAAGTGTTTTCGCTATTAAAATTTACACTGCTGTACTGACAACTTGAACCTATAAACATATGTGATAGGTTCTACGTTGCTTATTACTGACCGATTCAAGTCGTGATTAAAAAAATCATGTTATTCTTTAATTTCATACTTAATTTAGTTTTGATATTTCCTCTTTCATTTGAAACTCCTAATGTTGACATCTCATTCGTTGAGTGTGGCTAATAAAATTCAGTGGTTTTCTTTCTCATAGAAGTGTTTGATTTTCCCTGACTTGTTTAATGATGGAATTGATATGTTTGTCATATCGTATGTCTTCGTAGAATACATAATATTTACCAGTTAACATACATTTAAAAGTAACGGACTGGATGAAATTTTCATTGAAAAAATTTAGCTTTAGCATACATAGATGATTATGTGTGTGAAGCAAAGCTTTCATGTGTAGATATGTATAAGGGTGACTTGTTAGATTTTCTAAATTCCATTTGTAACATAGTATCAATAAAGTACTCGATATCAATGATAAATCTTATGGATATTCTTGTGTAGACTTCTAAAAATAGGGTTATTTATTTCATTCAGTGTATGTGCATGAACATATGCTTACTTGGTGATATAATCTCCTACTAATTAACAAAAAGATAATTAAAATCTCGATCTGTATGCATGTACATTAATTTGTCTTTAAAAAATCACCTCTATGTCGCCATTCCCATCTGCAGTTGCATTACAACATGTTAATTCTGTAATCTTTTTCTGCTCACAAATGTTATCTTCTCTCATTGATATTTGGTGTTAATCCACACTGAAAATTTATTCATACTGAATACATGGTTATGTAACAGTAGATCAATAATTGCATGACAAATATTACATATGTATATATGTACTGGTGTTTCTCTATCTATCTTCATTGCTTGTCAGTACTAAAATCATGAGTGAATGCGAACTTACACAACCGTATCTTTTCAGTTTGTTATATTTAACAAGCGACTGATTATAATGATTGAAATATTGTTTATTCAGTTATTTACTATGATTCATCTGATTTACTGACTGACAAGCGTAAGTTTAATAATCACTATATATATATATAGTGTGATATGCATAAACTATGGATTACTGAACAACATATCAATATGTAACTGGAGCACTACAGTATTATTTCGATTAATAACATTTTATGTTGTTAATGATCATCGTACCAATAATCTGTTTTTCGGTAAGGAAAAATATTTGATTAAACTTTATACATGTACATTTATTAGTCATCATAGAAGTCATTTAATTGTAACTCCTTAAATTTGCACTGCTCAAGAATAAAGATAATTTCAAACATCATTCATTTTTATTAGAAAGTCTTATTAAATTACTTGAGAGTTTTTGGAAAACTCTGAATGAACACCTTTATTAGTGTAAGATTAAGCTAGTTCGTAGTCAGTTTGAACATTTATAATTTCAAGTTAAATAAATGACGTAAACAGAAAGTATTTAATTAATCAAATCTCTAATTGTTTACCAAGTATGCAGTCTGTATTTCATTTTTAATACTTTTGTTAGTACATGAGAAATACCTATTCAAATGTAGCTTAATATCTTAAATCCACTATCTCGAGTTACATATATAGGGTTCAAAGCCGTATTACCTATCCGCTGTTTATTTATCATATGTTCACAATAGAGAGTCTGTTTTAATTCTGCTTTATACAATGTAAATAATTCACTGAATTGTCGTACATGTTGGTGATACAACTGGTTAACTAAGTACACGTTCATGTACCTGACCCAATGTTAGACTTTCATGTAAGCACTAATGATACTACATTGCTAATATAGAACCAAAATAGGCAGAATGTACATTTTTTGTGAATGTATCTCAATGGCTAGAAGTTTAGTTACTTAGTTACTCGTGTTTTACGTGAACTGACTTATTGTGTATGCAATTTGAAAGTGGAATATGGCTACAATTTGCAAATTAAGCACTAGGTCAATTGTGAGTAATGTTTTTAAAAAAACTCATATGATTGTTTTTGTAAACCATTTAATGTTTGTATATACCTTAAAATAGCGAACTATTCGTATCATAAATATTGAAGTTGTTGGTACATTGTGTTTTGGTGGGTTGTTTTTCAATTATTATTCACATTGCATACTTGTTAACTTGATAAGTTAAAAACATACTTCTTGATATGCAAACTGAAATTAAAGCAATTTTTCTCAGTAGTACAGTCAAACTCAAGAAATAAATATTTTCTGATTTTTCGTTTTGTAACTGGGTTGGTTTAATTAACAGGACTTCATTCTCATTCTGGATAAAACAATTGTATGTAGGCGCAGATGATGTTACTTAAAACAACATTAAATGCTTCTCAATTAAACTCTGCAGTTCAGAAAACACAACACCATGAAATACATAATTCCGAACTGAAAAATCCAGAATAAATTTTTAAAATACTCTTCCTTTAACATTCTATTCACTTTAAAAATGTTCGGGAAATAAACTTTTTCTGGGACAAATCAGCCCATCTTTATGATTGATTCATTTCATTTACACAAAGAACGATGACAGAATAAAGTTCTCATGAAGGCGTTTCAAATCTAAAACAGTAAATTATCGTTCAATTCTATGTTCAGTTTTGAAAATAAACGTTCTTAAATCTTGCATTAGATGTTAAGCAATTGTATTTGGGTTTACGTGCATGAATTCTAATGGAATTCTGTCTTATTTCTGATAAAAAATATACAATAAGAAAAATTATTCATAGCATAAAACTGTTTTCTTTATAGGTATTTATTTATTCTTTGTTAACCATAGAATGAAATCAACTTTCTCCGTCTAATTTCAATAAACTGTTCTAAAATTTGGATAAATCAACTAGGTTGCATGCGATAGTCATGGAATGTTGAAAACACGATTTGATATTTTGAATTGTTATTAAATATAATAACAAATATAATAGTTATCTCTTTGTTTAGTTTTATACGGTTCCTGCAGGCTTTTGTTGATTTCAGTAAAGCTCGAACACTATTCAAAGTAGATTCATTTCTATCATCAATTCCCCTCACTTTCTTACAACCAACAAACAATAGTATGAATTAACAAAAAAAGAAAAAAAACAAATGTATACATGTTATATTATCTCATTTACAGAAATTCCTAATCAAGGTAGATTAGTAGAAACGAATAAATATGTAAGAATCACAAGAGTCATCCAAATGGTCAACTGTATACACCATAACTGTATTAACATTCTGAAATGGAAAATTGAAGGGGATGTCGATAGATTCCGAAAAACAGAAAATTAATATCATATATTACTTAATGTTATATATAAAAATGATTGATCAGTGGAAATATTCGTGAACGTGAAAGAAAAATTCAACATTTTAATTAAGGGTTTAAAATATTACGTTATCTAACTTCTTAAGTACTCATTCCACCAGACCAAATAATGATAGCAGCTAGTTCCGTTTGCTTTTACAAATTTGGTACGAACTCGATGAATAGTTATTTTATACTAGTTATAGTGATGTTTTTTTCCAACTTGTTCTTATTTGAGTATAAAAGTTGCGTAATGTGTAATAACGTGATGATGTAATGTATGATAATTATTTATTGGAATCTCATACGTTTATCAGATGATTAAATCATAAGCGAAAGGCACTTTCATCATTTTTCTTCTATCATCATTATCCTTAGTTTATTTTAAAGTGTTTTTTTGCAGATAATTAAAAATTACTGTAAGGAATCAATCTGTCAGATAGTTAGAAAGATTGTGCAACTAAAATAAACATTACTCAACAACTTAAATTAGATCTTATTTATTTATTTATTTTACCACATAGATAGTGGTAAGAGGAGGTCTCAAATACATATCCGCCGTGATACTGCTAGGGTGCCCAAGCAGGTGGTTCTCTTGGGGGACCACACCCGGAGTCTTCGACCTGAAGGTCTGATCCACAAGGCAGTGGAGCATCGTAAGGAGATGCAGTCCCATTGTAGCCGATGACCAACGATTGCTTCATACGCCATTTGTTCCTTCAGAATACTGGAGCCCATGTGCACCATTGGTTTGGAATCAGGGTTTTCCAACTCCCCTAGGTGGATTCTCCATGTCCATCAACCCGGATAAAGCTCCGGACATTCGCTTTGCGTCCTCTCAGTTTCGTAAACAACACCCGTGATGCGAGAAGACAGTGAGTAGGACTTTCCTGGCAGAGGCTATATACGCGTGGCCATGTGAGAGCATTCTGAGAGTAATAGTTGACTCCCACCACTCTCGGCCGTACCAGGGCATTTGGGGGAAAATTAAATCTATTGAAAAAGAGTTTGGAGTTAAAACCTTACAGTCAAATAAATAGTTTTTTCATCTCAATAAGCCACATAATATTCTGTTTCTTTGTTACCGTTCGATCAAAGTTCAATTTTCAGTATTTTTAAGTAGCTTCATTTACTTCTAGTCAAGATGCGCGTCTATTTTTTTGTTTCATTTTAATTAGGAAACAAACAAATTGTTTATTTTGACATTTCGTTGATTTCCTGCTATCCACTATTATGCCATTACTGTTATTTCAGCTTGAAAATTTTATGTACCGGCTTATTTATTGTGATTGACACAAAGTTTGACATTTGACACTAAAAGTTCAAATTATATTAATTCATCAACTTACGTTGCTGATCATTATTGTAGTTATAAACATGTGGTCAGTCCTTTTTATGTAACCTGGTCATAGTGATTCGTGTATACATTTATTCATTTAATCTAAGCTTGTATTATCTTATGTGCACACCGTTTACCCTGTATATTGTTCACTATATTCACGTGTTAGTGATCTGAGTGAAGTATATACATATATGTTCACACGCACAGAGAAAATTCATGTGTCTCAGGTCGATTAAGTAATTTGTCAATAATCAAGCGAAACTGTTTGCTTGTAACTAAATTATTTCTCTTCTTTGTTTACTGAATATTATTTAGGCTAGTCGTAATGCTGAAATGAAATTACCTGAAATATTATCAGATGATGAATTTTCAGATAAAATATCTTGTAATTCACTTACTTCATCATCCAACGAAAGTAAGTTTTATTGATTGATAAAATTCTATATTTTCTTCAAACAGTAACATCATCTTTAACTGAAGAAACAGATGTATCACAACAATTAAAAGAGGATTCATCAAAGTTTAACCCTCACCAACCACAAATCGTGTAAGTTACAGTATTTTTTTCTCATCATTTATACCTTTTGTTTTAATTGATAGGGAGTGAAGTAGTTGAACGTGTCGACAGCTTTACTTATCTTAGGAGTCTCACCAACCCTCGTGGTTTGGTGTGTGACGAAATCTCAGCACGGATACAGAAGGCTCGACTAGCTTTTGCCAACTTGCATCATTTATGGCGTAGGCGAGATATCCGTTTACCAACCAAAGGATGGGTTTATTGCGCAGCAGTTCGTTCCATCCTACTTTATGGCTGTGTAACATGGCCGGTAAGAGTAGAGGATGTTCGTTGGTTACTAGAATTCGACCACCGACTGACCCAACGAGCGATGTTTTTTGGTGTAGGAATAAGTTGGAAGAAAGCCAGAGGTGGCCAGACCAAAACATGACATAAATCCATAAAGTCACTGACAAGTGGATTTAGCCATGTTGGTAGGTTATAGACTAACTGGTTGGGATCCGTGAGACGATAGCAACCGATGGTTAGAGACCCTGAATGACATGGCTCAAAGTTGTTTGAAACGGTGCAGGTGTATCCACTCTTTGTGTTCTCCCATATTCTAATCTTCCGAATTCTTCATGTCCCTTTTTTCTCTTCACAAATTTATTTCATTGGATTATACTCCTTGAATAACATCTTCAAACCCTAACCTTTCCGATTGCTGTTTATACTTTTACTACCTCTACCACTATGGGATTTGAATCGAGAATTGTATCTGTGTACTAATGTGGTATGACAACTTGAACTGATGTACGTACGTACATACGACGTTCTACGTTGTTATTGACTGAATGACTAACTTGATTTTAATAAATTAACTAATTTGTACTTAGAATACTAAGTATTGCAATGAATTATATGTCAAAATTTCAAGATCCAACCGTTGATCAAACTTAGTTCATCATCAAGTATTTATTTAAATATCCTATACAATCTTATCAACCATTGGATTGTATAAATAACTCTGTAGATTTTTTCCTCATATAATACTATAACTATAATCTAAATATTTCTAATTTTATAGTCCCACCATACTCTTGTGATGGTTCGAAAATGTATTTAGTAAAATAATCCTTATTGCTATAATCAGTAAAGTATCATTTTAGATTTAATAAATACAAGCTAACATGGACTGAGTTTAATGAAAAGCTGAAATGTTCACAAAATAATTTGAATGAGTATGTACGTAATTATTTTTGTAATTATTCTTAAACTTATTGAGCTTATCTGACCGGAAGTTTTTTCACTATATTAGACTAACTAGAAATAATGATCCATTAATTTAATTATAAAATGAGTATTCTAGACTGTTATACAATCGAGTAATTGAGAATTAACTATCTATCAGAATTGTAGTTAATTTTTCTATATTGGTACACAATTTATTATTCAAAACTGGTTTTAATTGTTTTAAAATGTTCTTTTCGACTGTCAATATTTACTTTCGACGTCTTATAGTATTACCAGTGACGAAACAGATGATGAAGAAATACGTGATAACCATATCTCTACAGTAACTCAAGAAAGAGAAATTTACACAACTCTACCTATCGTGGAACCTACTAATATACTACCTATCCTAAGTCTTTTAAAAGCAAACGATTATTTAGTATGGGGTGATCGAAATTCTGTAAGTATCAAATAATTCATTATTATTATTATCATAACTATATTTAATGTTATTATTCACTATATACATAAAGGAACTGAATGAGTAGTTTTCTTTCTCTTGAATAAATAATAATGTAAATGATATCTCTTAGATATTAATAATTATTCAAATGATGTTCAAATAACTATTGAGAATATTCGTACCTTTGTCTCATCAATAATGAATAAGTTATTATCAGAAGGGGTTTTGTGGAGATTTTAGAAGTTTCATTGATTGAAATCATGAGTCAATTGAAGCTAGACCACTATGGAAAACCTGGAAGCACTGGACAGCCGTTTCGTCCTAGTATGAGACTCCTCAGTGGAGTTTAACCAAGTCTGTTGTGAGATATCAACTCACTCAAGACAATGGTGTACGGCGGCGCAACTTCGTGGATTGATTAGACATTAACACCGTTGGATGCCGACTCAGTGGTCTAGTTGGTTAAACGCCTAGCGCAAGACTGATAGGTCCTGGAGTCGAAACTCGCGGGGTGCGAGATCGTGGATGCGCACTGCTGAAGAGTCCCATACTAGGACGAAACGGCTGTCCAGTGCTTCCAAGTTTTCCATGGTGGTCTAGCTACAATTGACTCGTGATTTCAATCAGTGAAAAAGTTATTATCATTCACTTGAAACATTGGTTGATTCAACTGAACATTGGATCACATCTTCTTACCCTTTAGAATTAACCCATAAGTGTATGTATTCTAACAAAATATTTCTGAAAACAATTAAATAATTACTCCCATTGAAACTAACCAGTTGTTGTTATCATGCTTCAAAGTATTCATCATAATGGTTACTGACTACACTTTCATGATTAAATCCATCTTTCTTCCAAATTCCAATTATCCCTCTTTGTTTTAAAGAATATAAATTATTTATTTATACGAATATTCGTCAAGATTAGAACGAATAGTTTGACAGTAATTGAGCGCCGAGTATAGAGAAGTCATTATATGTGAAAATTATATTTGAAATATTCTCAGCGATTGAAATTTAATTCCTAACTAATAGCTATATATTTCTTTGATAATTTTGATTTTGATTATTACCCTGAAGAAGTCCAGACAAGTTAGCTGGACGAAACGTTGGAATTAGTTAAATTTCAATCGCTGAGAATATTTCAAATATAATTTTCACATATAATAAATTATTTATATTTCTCTTTTATTGACGTTAAAAGTGCATTGTGTTTTTTAAAAAAAAAACCTTTTTTTTACTTATTTCATTCGCTTAAAATTGTTGATGCGATTTACGATTACACTTTTTTCTTTCATTTTCATTCTCTCTAATAAATTGGTCCATTAATGTTGACCATAATATCTTTAGGACATTAACTAGCTGATAATCTAAACTTTGATAACCAGGAAAAAGATTGAATCGATTGTTCACTAACTGAAAAGTCATCCTACATTATATTGATTTATTTTTGTAGTTTACTTAAAAGAAATGTAAAGTTTTATGAAGATTTCTTTTTTTCTTTTTAACTATAGTGAAGTGATTAGTTTATTATTCAATGTAATTTATTTAATAAATCACTCATACATGTAAGAAATAGCTGACATAACTTATTTCTATCTTTTGAAATTAGCTCATTACATTTTTATCATTCACTAAACGTTAATTACATAATATCATAGTGATTGAATAAAAAAAACTTAGTAAAAATTTTGCATTTGAATTAATCCTGATTAGTTATGTTGATAATTATTTCGTAAAATTTCATTACAAAAAACACTCTCCTGTAGTGTCGGTTATTATATTAAGCCCATATAACTTATTCTGGCTTTCGGACAGGCAAATCTACTCATTCTGTAGTGAACAGAACATGGGCGGGGACAGTCTAATTATATTTAGCACAAAATTACAGAGTTAATTGGTAAAATAGAAAAATCATACTATAATAATTAATTTGTAAAATGTTCAATAATTGTCTCGAACTTCGTTGTTCTTGCATTTCCATACTAATTGCTTTCGATTCCCGTTCTTCCTTTCTTGATCTTCCTCATCTTCTGCTGCCAGATATTACATTCCTGACTTGCGTCATATACTACTTATATCAATATAAGTAGCACGCACCACAATTGTACTTGAGACATATTTTGACCTTGTTAGTTATTCGCTTATCAACCTTGACTGTTTTTGTATGAGTGTATGTGTGTGTACATTTCTTATCCTATTCATCACAACATGTCTGTAACTTATTTTTGTGTAACTATAAATATTGATTAACGCTTTACTAAAGGGAATTGGCTTACCCGCCATCGCCACTGCGTGTCGTTTCGCTTCGTATACAAAATATATGTATTCAAAAGTCCATTCTCGTTATTTGAATTATTTAATTCCGTTATTGACTAACTCGATTTAAGTCGATGATTATGTACGAGGATAGGCGACATATACATTTCGACAACAATCATTCATAAGATCTAATTGAAGTCAGATCTCGGGCCACTAAAGTGGAGAGCCCGTCAACAAACATCGTCCGATCTAAATGACGACAAAATAAAGGGTCCCACTAAACTCCTAATGGTTAAGATTATAAACTTTTAACCATTTAATAACAAGCTCCCTATCCTTCTACATCTATTTCTGTTTCGAAGGCTAGCTGAATGTTTTTACTAGTCTCCAAATATAAAGTATAACTCAAACCCAATCACGTAAAGACTTTTTTTAATGTCGGTATCTTATTTCTCCGACAGTGATTCATTTAAACATTCGTATATTTGCTGCTTTTACTGTATCTTCATTTCACTTAGTAAATTTCCTTTTTAAACTGTACAAAGATTTGTTCTTTATATATTTTATTTTCCTAGCTAAATGATATTTCTGTACATGCTGGATGTATTGATGCTTTAATAGTATATATAACATCATATGGCCGTATGTCACCATCATGTAAGTTAATTTGTGTGCTTATTTGTTTTTCATTGTTTCCAAAGTTATTTTTATTTGAGCCCTAGAGTAGTGATTTCATTTTCAATTTATAAGATAGATCATTAAAATTGAGTCAGTAATCTAAAGTTATTATGCTCGTTGCGAGACTTCAAAACCGCGAGTTTGATCCCTGAATGAATCGTACGTTTACAATTTAAAGTAATCTCAAAATAGATCGAGGAGTCATTTAATGCTCTCTTATTTCCAAAGAGTTAATGATAATTTCGGGTTGTTTCAGATTATGGTCCAACCTAACTTTGGAAACAATATATCTTTCTCTATCTCTGATCTATATATAAAAAAGTAGTTATATGGAATTTATTTTTGATTAGTATCAGTTGGAAATCCATTGACGATTGTCTTCGGAAGACTAACTATAGTGTAATCGTAATGTATATCCTGTCAGTTTAGATTAATTTCATAACGAATGTCATTTCTTCATTACCGTAACAAATGTCAATAAATAAAACGCATGACATAATATTTCGATGATATGAATTCAGCATTGTACCAAGTCTCCAATAGCTGTAAAAAGTATCCCGATAAACTACTAACTGTAGTGTTCGTATTTTTCTTGTTGTTAGTGTCAACTGTTTAGTACGGTAGATACTTTGCTCGTCTATTATCATTGTGAACATCAATACTGAGATCCATGTACAGTTGACTAATAATTTTAGCACACGAAAAAACACAGGTTTTACATTTTCCTATTAATCATTATCAGGGATATTATTTTCCAAAAACACTGTTTCTGTATTTTGTTTTCAACAAAAAATGAAGTTTTTACATTGTCGTTCCTTTATTGTTTGTTTGTTCGTTCTTTTCCTTTTTCTTTTATTACAGATTATTTATTTTTCGAAACATTTCTTTTTATGTATCGTTCATTTATGACATCTGATGAATTAGTGAATCGTTTGATAACGCGTTATCATTACTTTAGCCATCCTCCACGTTATTTATCGCATTTGACAAATTTATCTCATGAGACCAGATCTAAAGTGTGTACGTCTACTGTGTCAATTTTAGTGACTGTGGTAAGATTTCGTTTTTGATTATTAGTTTGATATTACACTGATTTATAGCTGTATAATCTTATTGTAAGTGTTTTTTGTAGTGATTATTTACGGGATGCTCGAAGTTTTCCCGAAATCTAAATATTTGTAACCTGATCACACTTTCTATGAATAAACTAAGTTTATAGTATTTTAATTTCTAAATTTCATCCCCCTCATATTTTGTATCTTTTAAAGTCATGTTACATTAATTTGCCTCTGTCATGCATATATCTGGTCATCAAATTATCTCAATTATCTCTTCATAATAACTGATGACTTACAATTATATCAGACCGTGGTATTTTAGTATCTACGTCTAAATCATCATACTATTGCTACTGTACCAAAGAATACATATCATTTGTGTGTAATGCGATAGAAGTTAAGAGTTTTAAAACGGGTTCTTCTTATAATTATTTCAGGTAATAGTCCTAGAATATTGAGTTAATTTTATTACAATCTAACACAAATGTAAGTTTAGAAATAAAACGAGGATGCGTGAATCCTCCACACTAGGTTGTGATCATATTTAACACAAAAAAGATAGGTTAAAATATTACCAAAGCAGTTGAAGGTTAACTACTTATTTTTTAAGGTATAAAAGTTAATTTGAAACCCAACTGCTATGGCTTCTACTAAATTCAATAACGTGGAATTGGACGTTTAATTGAAAACTTTGAATCAATTCATTACATCCAATTTGTGCCCCTTGTCTAGTAGATGACATGCTACTAAACTATGTAGGCAATTATCTCTTCGAAGGCGTAGATTTTTGGAATATGCCCATGAAAACGTGAATTGTTTTTTTAGCGAGTTAGTTTTCTGCGGGATGGAGTCGCTAACCCCACGCCCACCCTCCTTCTTTATCCGGGCTTGAGATCGGCTGTATCCCAAAAAGGGCTTCACGCGGAGTAGATTACCTAAGCACTTGGAGTTGCATGCACATTTAAAGTATTATATGCAATTCAAGGCCACATACTGAAGTCAATGATATGGAAGCCATCTTTTCATTAATTTTCCAGTGTGAATTTAATGTTGATATTCACTGTATTGAAAGATTCGAGTATCTTGTTTGGATAACTTACGCCGCTAAGTAAAACTAAAATATCATCGGTATTCCGTACATAAAGTGTAATCTCGTTGATAACAGTATGTAATATTTTATTTCCAAATTTCCAAGAAATATATCGTCAAGGTTTTAACCAAAGAATTGCCCATTGCTACTTCATCTGCTTGATAGCATAATTTATTATTACATTGGAACTGAACGTTCTTAGTTTATATCCTTAATAACTGTGTGATCTGTGTGTATGATGTGCATATACTTTATGAGTATTTGCTAGTGATGTCAGTTGTTTCTTTCAAAGAGATAATGGTTAAAGTTAACGATATGCCATATAAAACTATTAGCTTGTTTGATGTATTAATATGACATTACTTCAGTAAAATCAAGTTTATACGACCAGTTTTTTTACAAATCGATCCCAGTTTCATGCAATTAATTCCCTTTATGAATTTAAATAAAGCAAGAAAAAATATTATGAATTCATACTATTCTGCATCAATATTCGATCCCAGTTTGTTAGCTGACCGTTGGTCCAGTTCGTTGCAGAGAAATCTTCTTTATGATTGGTCTCATTTGTAGATTAGATTTGCGTAATTTGGCCTGCTGATACATGAGTGATAGGCATACTCCAAGTGATTTATCTCAAATAATTACAAGAAAAACCTCTTTCAAAACTTTAACTCTTAAAGTGTGTCATATTACACACAAATGATTGATTAATAATTCACTTTTAAATATTATTCCATTAAATGGAAATAAGAAAACATATAACTCTGTATGTAGTTGAAAGTAAAGCAGTTAAATGCAATGAATTGATCGTATTCTGAAAATATTATCGTTCTTACTTTGTTTAGATTTATGAAGGCAATCAATTGTATAAACCTTTTTCTTTGTTTTTTCTGAATCACTTCTCTCTTGATTACAATTTCATAGTATATTAAATGGAAATTATTGAATATTCTATCCATATTTCATTCCCTTTTAAGTTTGGTCTTAGTTAAATTGTTTGCTTGGTTTTGTCTCATTTCAAAACTAGGTTACACGATTAAGACATGATTTAAATGATAAATTGCTAGAAATTCTTCAAAATTTCGAAGAAACTCTTTCACAAGACGAATATAAATCACTCAGTCGAATTTTACACATTACAATTTTTCGTCAGTCACAGGAAAACTTACAAATTCATTCTAACTCAATAAACACTGAGTTAATCAATAATAATATGCGTAAATCTGATTCATTTCTATCAAATAGTGGTCGAACCTCATCACTAGGCGATGTATCATCCGATCAATCCATGTTAAATAGAATTAATGAAACAGATCAATGCGCTGAATATAATGAAAATGTGGGATTTATTACATTACCAAAGACTAAATCTAGACGATCACATGCTTTGGAAAATGTTGATCGTTATTCAGTGATTGAATCGACAGAAAATGATTATGTCAATCCTTCTTCTGCGATAAATTCACTTCCAACTAAAAGAATCTTGTTGAGTACATCAAAAAGTAGTCTTGGCCTATTGAATTTCCCTGCAAAATCTTTAGCTGAACAACTTACATATTTAGAATGTTTAAATTATTATAAAATTAATGTAAGAACCATTTTTTTTCGTTTATTTCGTGTTTTTATTTGTTTTAATTTGATTTTGATAAAATGAAGGTTATTTGATTCATTATCGTATTACAAATAATGGTCTATGTATTGTTATTTTTTAGTTCTTTGGATGTCAGAAGACTTACGATAGTTACTACTATTAGTAGTAGTAGTAGTAGTAGTAGTAGTATTTTTTTAAATTTAATATTAGTGTTAATTCAAAGATTTTTTTAATATAAAAGTTACCAACAGTCAGTGCTTCAACTTTTTGCATGATGATAAATGCTAATTGTAAACCGGACAACGTGGTTTGAAGTATGCGGAGATTCATTATCATAAGAACTCTTAGTTATAAATTTATGATTTACTCTTTCTAACCATACAGTTTTTACTAAATGTGGGCACTCCATTGTTCTGTGGTTTTAAGTGTTACACATGCACAACGCTTGTGTACTACGATCGAGATGTACAAATATGGTTACATGGGTTTGTGTTTAGAACAAAGTATGACATTAATCCACTATTAGGATTAACTAAATGATGATCTACAACATCAGATTCGATTTCTTTCTAATAGGCGGTCAGTTTTTAATAGTATGAACACAATATTATTATTTGGTGAAAATTCAAGCTCGACTCTCTGTTTCCTTTAATTTTCAGGTTTTTGAACTGCTTGACATTTCAAAACTAGAGCAAGGTAAAGCACCTGGTGTAGCCGCTTGTGCACATCATTTTACAATGCTTTCTAACTGGGCCACTTATCAAATTTTATCCTTAACAAGTGCATCTGATCGTGATAAGGTTGCAAATCGTTTATTGGATGTTATGGAAGTAAGTTGTTATTTAGCCTTATGATAGCTTTCAGTTTTGATTTTTGCCTAAAAATCAGTTTTTAAAAATCTCAGACAACACTAAACACTTGTCAATAAAATAGTTTTTTGTAGCGTGTAATATTTATCACTCTCCAGAATCTTTTACTGATTGTTCCCAGTACCTTACGACAAATAGTGTCTTTAAAAAATTAGTGATCGATCTATTAATTGTAATTATAGTGCCGTTTACATTTGACACCATAAATTATTCATCATATATATATTGTAAATTAACATTACCTTGGTTTTTAATTTTTCTATCTTCTAGCACTTGTACAAACTCCAAAATTTTAGTTCCTACCTGTCTTTACTTTGTGCATTTCTCCTAGTACCAGAAGCTTTGTTTTCTCGAAAAACACTCAGTGTAAGTCAGCTTGTTGATAAATTTCTTCTTTATATGTTACATGTTCAATATTATTTTTATAGTTTATAAGAATTTGTATGAAGATTTATCCGAACACTTTTAATAAAGTTAGGTGTTGATTCAATGAGCGACATTCGTGTTGTGGATGCGGAGGAATAAACCAATAATTATGATGTTAAGTCCAATGGTGTCCTTGGACTTTAAATGGACATTTCCTATTGGTCGATATCTGTTCACTTGTTGAATATTGTGCAAAATGTTGTTTTCTATTTTTATGGTACGATGTGGTATTCTTGATTGGTATATAAACAAAGTATGTTTGAAATATAATGATTCATAACTCAGAGGCTGTGACTTGTGTTCTTGGCTCAACTGGCTGGGACAGACAGCGAAGTAGGGCCAATCAGGGCACTAGGTCGTCCGTACGTGTTTTCCGTGTCACTGTAATCGATCGATCAATAAACCGCTGCTTATCAAAACCTGCAGTCACACCCGTTACAACAATTCGATGCATAGAGAGTTCGTTATTACCTCGAAGAACCTCGATTTAGACTCGTTGATAAAACATTGGAACCGTTTATTTTCAACGATGAAATTTTCTCAAATATAGTATTATATCTGTTCATCATTAGGATTTTATCTCTCTCTTATTGTGTTCCATATATTCACTCAACCGATATTTTCAGTAATCGCTAAACTTTAAATTCAAGTGATATATAATTCTTGAAATATATTTCCATTGTTTACTGTCTATTACGTGATTTGGCTGAAAAGAAATTGATCATGATGAGGTATAAATTATGTTTGACAATTTTATTAAAGGAAAGCATCATAACAGTGTTACTGAATTTTACATTGAACTAATTTCCTTGTCTATTATGAAAGATACCATTTCAATTAATGCAATTCTTTATGTCATAGTCAGTCAGTAAGCTACAACGTAGGACCAGGCACATATATGCATCGATCCAAGTTGCCATACCTCATTAACGCAACACCGAATTCATAGAAGTAGTTACTTTGATGGTAGTAATATATAAAAGAAAGATTGTGTATAGGGATATAGTACAGAAAGAAAGAATTAGTTGGTAGAAAGAAAGATATAAAGCAATTTTAATCTCACAGTTTAAGGGAAAACCGTGTTTATACACCTACGCCATTGTGATCAATTCTGAGCCATGTCACCCAGAGTCTCCAACCATTGGTTACAATGGTCGTACGAACCTCAACCAAGTAGTCTGCATCTACCAACATGGCTCAGATCAGAAATTTGTGACTTTATGAACCGATGCCAAGTTTTGGTTTGGCCGCCCTTAAAAATCTCCCAACCGTCTCCAACACTAGTCTGCATTGCACACCGTGGTTATTTTATTTTATTTAAACACATAAACATAGGTACAAGAAGGCACCGAGTAGATGTGCGCCACATAAATCATTCAATTTGTGTGAGGGCTAGGATACTGCCCGGGTGCCCAAACTGAGCAGGTGGTTTTCTTAGGGGGGCCACACCCCGAACCTTCGACCTAGAGGTCTAATCCACAAGGCAGTGGAGCAACGTAAGGAGATGCAGTCCTGTGTTATCCAGTTACCAACAATTGGTTCGTAAAACTTTCGTTCCCTCGGAATCCTGGGGCCCATGTGCACCGGTGGTTTGGAACCAAGGTTTTCCAACCCCCCTAAATGTGCCCTCCTTGTCCACCAACCCGGTTAAAGCGCCAGACATTCGCCTTCCATCCTCTCCATTTTGAAAACAACGCCCCAGCCACGAGAAGGCAGTGAGTAGGACTTCCCTGACAATGGTTGTATGCACGTGGCCATGTGAGGGCGTTTCGAGAGGGAGAGTTGACTCTCCCCACTCTTGGCTCGTATCAGGGCATTTGGAGGTCACCCCGTTGTAATCGGTGGCTTTGTATTATAATTCCTTCTCTATCAAAGAAATTACACAAATTTCTTCACATTGCTCCTCTCAATAGCTAATACTTTTTTATGATTACCCACCTTTGTACAAAATGCACATACTCTGTATATATACATATTTAATTATCACGTTTCTGTCCTTTTTTCTGTATGTATTTTTGTGTCATAGCGTCTTAGTCGGGTTACGCCGTACATGCAACCGCCTTACTTTTCAAAATATCGTCGTGACTTAGAAGCAGCCAGTCCACCATTAATACCATATTTAGGTTTAATGCTGCAGAATTTAATTGTCCTAGATCAGGGTAATCCATTGTTTTTAAAGACTCTTCCAAGTCAATTAGTTGATAAATATCAATCATGTCATGGCCCTATTATAAACTTTTGGCGATGTTGGAAACATTTTCTGATCATACACGTTTTTGTCAAACAAGAGAAAATGGATCCTGAAAAATCGTAAGCGATCACTGTTTGTTTGTCCTATTTTAAACATAATAATATAATTATTAAATAAGATTCACACGCATACAAATCTAATAGTACTGAACAGTCACCATTAGACTGACCGTGACTTCATTGCTAGAAAATAGCTGGATATTAATTTTGATATTGTAATTTATTGTAAATTACATACTGTTATACTGATTATACATAATCAACTCTGTAGAATGATAGATTTCAGTGAGCAACAAAATCTTTGTGCTCATTAACTAATATAACCTCTGAAATTTATACTTTGGCCGGAACTCCTTATTAGGTTAAACGAATAATCATCTGGATTATTACCCTGACTAGCAAGCTATTATAAACCAGTTATCATTGAACATCTGCTTCCTTCTAGTAGTAGATTACCCTGTACAGCCCACTTATGGCCATCATGTCTTTCAGCTCGTCAGTTACTTTTAGACTATGTTTGCACTCGATAATGCTTCGTTTTTCTGCTTTTATCAATCTTTAAATCTGCTACTTTGACCGAACTTTTCACCCTGATAATAAGCACGTAGCTAGCGTTTGAAGTCGAATAAGTACAAATAAAATCCTTTAGAGGCCCGAGATCTGGCTCCATTTGGATCGTATAACGATTGTGATTGAAATATACATATCGCCAATCCTCGCATATAATTATTGACTTAAATCGCGTTAGTGAATAACGGAACTGATATAAGTCAAATACGAGAATGTATTTTTGAATACGTATATTTTGTATAATCGTTGATCGGAAGGCGAAGCAAGACAAAACGACACGCAGTGGAGAAGGCGAGTGAGCAAACTCAATTTAACCAAGCGGAAATCAATATTGATAGTTACACAAAATTAATTTACAGATATGTGATGAGTAAAATAAGAAATGCACATAAATACGCTCTTATAAAAACAATCAAGGTTAATAAGCCAATAAGTGACAAGATCAAAATGCAGCTTAAGAAGAATGAATAAGTTGGTTTGTCCAGAAGCTAGAATAACTTATCTGGGCTTATCATAGGACCAGCTATCTCTTTGGCCGTTTATTTGAGCACATTTTCTCGTCGAATTTTTTCTCCACTTCTTCATAATTGTTTCAATAACTTCATGATTCTACCATGCTATTGTTATCGTTGCTTTCAATATGCTGAAGTTGTTTAAATGTTGTTTGTTTACTTGATCATCGGTATCCTACTAGAATTAGTTTGAAGATGTGTGCTAATAGCTGATTATTAATACACGGTTCAGCAAGTTAGAAACGCTTTAAAAAGAAGGGGTTTTTAAGAGGTAATAAACTAGAGAAAAATGCATCTCTTGAAGATGTGCATGTAGTTGAAAAAAATTTAAAATTCAAATGAATCTCAGTAGTTAATGTTAGTTAATAACAAAAATATCTGAGGAAAGATGAAAACAATTTGAGATCACAAAAACAAATTAATATTTAATTGACATACATTCATAAACTTAACAGAATTTTGAAGATAATTCTTTGGATGAGTTGTCACATACTGTTTGCAACAAACATAGTCGTCAGATGTATTCTCTGTTATATGATGTTATTCATAAGTGTTATTTGTCAATAATTTCCCATAAAGCCCTTAAAATATCTTCAAAAGGCTAAAAATCTCTTTATTTCATTCAATACCTTCGGTAAATTCTGAGTGTCGATGTACCTATCTTGTCCTTCGATCTGATAACGTGAACGTACAGACTATTTATTTTAGCATGTTTTCTCAATATTCTCAACCACTAAATAGCTTATTACCAAATTAATACCTAATAGATCCTCTACGTAGAACAACCTTGAAGTAAAGCTTTGACTGTATTACCATCTTCATTGTTTACTGTTGAGGATTGATAAAGCAGTTGTTTTCTAAAAGCTTGTTAGAAATACAAGCTCACTTATATATATTATATATATAAATCGAATAGTGTATTTTCTTATTGTTTCTTATTCCTATCAAATATATAGTCGTTATTCGATCCGTCCTGATATGAAAATCTTACAATTTCTTGGCAATTTTAAAAATTCTTTACCTGAATCAGAATTACGTCTCTTAGCTAATCGTTTACGTCGAAGTATTTCATAATTTCATTATTTAATTATATTACAACATTTATGTAACCTATTGTTTGTTACTAATCAGCTCATGTGTATAAAATAACCTATAATATGTACAATAATACCATTGTTTTAATGTATCATTTTACTCTCTTTTTTTTAAAAAAAATCCATATTTTGAGGTAATTTTTAATTGTCAATTTCAAGATTTTTTGTTGCTTATCATAATATCATTCATACTTTAGATTATTGTTATCAGTCTTTGTTTTAAATATATAATGAATATCTATTGTATACTACTCAAATCTTATTATTGAATAACTAATATTTGTTTACATTTAAGAGATTGGCTGTGTTATTTGTAAACCTTTCTTTAAAAACAAAAAGACAAAACAATGACAATCACATATATTTCTCTTAGATGAGTTCCTCTATATATTATGTATTATGTTGTATAGAAAAGAATATATATATATATATAATTACGTTTCGGTGCATTACATCATCATTACTATTATTTTTACTCACTATTATACTGCTCAAAATTTGTAAATATTTCTCTATTGTTGAAAAGTGTTATTTTTTGTCAATTCATATGTACTTTAAAACCTATTAACTTTGTTCTTTTTTTATCATGAATATGTACAAACATTCGCGTTGTTCCATAGTGGCAATATTATCTTTTCCTACTGTAGATTTTTACAGTAAAAAAAAATCGTTCCTTCTGTTTATTACCTCGTCAACTAATGTATCATTAGTTTTTTATCATAATATACTTATTTTATTATTATAATGATGATTATTGTTCATATATTTTGTTCATATTTCTTCTATTATTTATACCATAGATTTCTTTCTCAAAAAGGATTGTTGTAGTTAAAAATTTGTTATTTTTATTGTTTGTTTTCTTAATAAAATGACTTCTTGATGCTAGTAGATAAGTAGTGATTTCGGTCAGTTAAGGATGCTTTAATGTTAATACAACTTCTGATACTATCAATACTACACTACTACTACTACCGCTACCACTACTACTATTACTAATAGTGGTGATAAGAGATCTAACGACAGTTGTTATTCATGTCATAATGCAATTATTCCTTATATCTTTATGAGAAAATAAACATTTACATTGATTTTATTTTATATGATAATATAATCCAAACAAATACTTACGCACACTTTTGTTTCTTCTTCGAGATAAAACGGTTCCTTTTTTTATCCTTTTTTTCAAAACAAAAAAAAACAAAAAGATAATGACATAAACTTTCATGTCACTCAGTTTCACAAAACAAAAACAAAAAAAATTTTTTCTCATTCATTCTTATCAATTTAAAGAAGTCATTCAATATTTATATATGTGTATATAAAAACATCTTTATATTAAAAGAAAAAGAAAACTACTATGATAATAGTTTTTATAATTGATAAAAGTAATTTGACATATTCCCATAATCAATATTTCTGGTAATTTATTCAACCTACATTCTAATTACTGAATTACTAGATAAAATACCATTAGATTCAATTAGTCGAATAGAATTGTTGGATTGTGAATTTACTCGTCAAATCGGTGAACTATTTATTTCAACAGTTGAGATCATGAGTCAGTTGAACCTAGATTACCATGAAAAAAACCTGGAAGCACCGGACGACCGTTTCGTCTTATTGCGGGACTCATCGGCAGTGCGCATCCACGACCCCGCCACCCTCAAGATTTGAATCCAGGATCCATCAGTCTCGCACGCGAGCGCTTAACCAACTAGACCACTGAGCCAGCCGACATCCAACGGTGTTAATGTCTAACTTCAACTAACTCACGAAATTGAGTGACACATCTACCATTGTCTTCAGTGAGTTACTACCTCACAACTGACCCGTTTGAACTCAATAGACGAAACGGTCGTCCAGTGCTTCCAGGTTTTCCATGGTGGTCTAGCTTCAATTGACTCATGATCTCAACTGTTGAAATTACTACAATCTCCCCAAAAAACCCTCCTGAAACTAGTTATTTCACTTTGGCTCGTCATTAAGCATAAAGTAAATTATATTTTTTGTCACCTGAATTTTAGCGTAGTGACCAAATTTGGATTTATTTGATTACATTTAAAAAATGATAAACGTTTCGGGTTTCCTATGTGTTAATACTTAGATGAAATTCAATAATTAAACATTTCATAGTTAGGGTTATAGAATTTATCAGCACTAAATATGAAATAAATGTATCAATAGTGTTTTGCTAAATTTTATCATTTGTTCACACAGTTTTATAGTCTATATCCAATCAATTAAGAGTTGATCCTTTCAAATTTATCTTATTCATAGATACGTAACAATATTAAGGAGGAATACTGAAGTTACAGATCCTACCAGAAAAAATAAATAAATAACTTAAATATTTTGTCCGCTTCCATGTATGAAAATATACTTCACAGGCGAAGAATTTTAAATCAAGTCATTACTAAAGTATAACAACTAGAGAGTGTTATGTTAATGTGAAAAAACATGAGTAACCTTTGTGGTATAAAGAAGTAGGTAATATGATTTAAAGAATAATAAGTCAAACATTAAAAAGA